CAAAATAAGACTTCATAATTTAATACATATTTGAGGGTTCACTGAACTGGGGATTAAGCAGGAAGAGAAGACGGTTTTGATACTGAATATATTATTCATCTCTGAGATGTCCTTTAACTGAATTTTAAATACATCTGCCTTGTACTTTTTTGATGAATAAAAAAATGAAATATATTTATTTTATTAGGAATGCTGCTTTTAATTTTTTTAAGCTGTGTTTTTATGTGTCAATGATTCTCTAGATAAAAGAATATATTATATTAATAGCTACAACATAGGCTAAGCAATCATTTTTAAGTTAATTTAGGAACTTATTAATTTCAACTGGGCAATGCATTGTAAGTAACTTAAACATTTATCTCAGAATAAAACTATCTGGTAAATTGTGGAATGACTGACTAGCAAAATATCAAGCAGATCACAATATCCAAGTATTGTTAGTCCCACAATGGGGGGGTCATAGGTGTCCGCAGAAATAAATTTAACCTGTAGCCTGGTGGTCTTTTAAGACTTTCAAAACTTGACACTCACTAGAAACTATTTATAAAATCTCTCTATTTATAAGATGCTTTTGCCTCCAGAATAAAGAAAAAAACTGATTTAATGGTTAAACAATTGATAAAGCACTATACATCAGAATATAGCAAAGACTGGCTATTAAAAATAAGTTTATGACACAAAGAATGCAAGTTAAAAAACAATAAATGAAGCCTAAAAAGCAGCAAAGTTCTGTAGTTTTACTTACAACTTTTGGAAAAATAAGCCCAAAATAAAACAGAAAGTTCTTACTCTGTTAAGAACAGCGGGTTAAAGCCCTGGCCTGTAGCACACCATCCTACATGGGCACCAGTTGGAGTCCTGGCTGTTCCACTTCTGATCTAGCTCTCTGCTAATGCGCCTGGGAAAGTAGTGGAGGATGGCCCAAATGTTTGGGCCCCTGCTACCCATAAGGGAGATTGGCAAGAAGCTCCTGGCTCTTGCCTCTGAATAGGCTCAGCTCTGGCAGCTGTAGTCATTGGGGAGTGAACCTGCAGATGGAAGACCTACCTCTTTGTCTCTCTACCTCTCTTTTAAATAAATAAATCTTAAAAAAAAAAAAAAAAAGTCTAAAAAATATAATAGTGTACCTAGTTCTGATCTTTACATCAATGAAAAGAATTTTTTTAAAAATCAAGAAAGGCAAGTTATTAAATAATTTAAAAATAATCATTGACAGCCATTACAGTTGGTACCCAATATCTGAAGGGGATTGGTTCCATGACTTCCCTCCCAGAAAATTCCTTATATAAAATGTTGTAGTATTTGCATATAATCTAGGCACATCCTCTTATATTCTTTCAATCACCTCTACATTACTTATAATACCAAATACAATGTAAATGTTATGTAAATAGTTGTTTCACTGTATTATTTAGAGAACAATGACATTTTGTTTCCCTCAAATATTTTTAATCTGCAATTAGCTAACTTCAAGGATGAAGAACCCATGGCTATGGTGGGCCAAATGCCCCTTTACAGTTTCTTTTTTTTTTAAGATTATTTTTTGAAAGGCAAAGTGAGAGAAAGAGAGATATCCATCTCCCATAAATGGCCACAATGGCCAGGCTGAAGTCAGGAGGCAGGACCCAGACTCCATCAGGGTTTCCTGTGGGGGGTGGGGTAAAGGCCCAAGTACTTGAACCACCTTCTGCTGCTCTCTCTGCTGCATTATCAGGGAGCTGGATGGGAAGTGCAACAGCAGACTTGAATGAGCACTCCCATACAGGATGCCAGCATCACAGGCAATAGCTTAACCCACTGTGCTACACTGCCAGCCCCTTCAATGTTTTTTAAACTAATCCAACAATACTCACTTTCAAATGGGCAGGACAGACATAGAAAGCACCATCCCCTTCTCACCCACAAAATACAGAAAAACATGAATAAAGGATGAAGAGAATTCAGAAAAGACATTTGGGGATGGTAGTAGATAGAAACACTTCTTACAGGAAATAATATACAATCAGGGTTTTAAAGAATATTTTCTAGAAGAAAATTCTATTAAGAGTGTAACATGTGCAAAGCTTGTAAAATTGACACGGTTGGTGTGATAGGTAGAATGCACTAATCCCTAGAACCTCTGAACCCCTTATGTTATATAACAAAAATGACTTTAGGAGATATTAAGGTTATAAGATTATTTCTGAATACCTGGGTGGACTCAGTCTAATGACATGAGCAGAAACATATTCTCTGGCTGTGGTTAGAGAAATGCACCAGCAGATGCCAGGAGATATTTGTAGAATAAAAGAGATATGACCAACTGATGCTATCAGGGACCACAAGGGAAAAAAAAACAGAACAAAGGCAGTCTCTAGGAGCAAAGACTGGCCATGACTGACAGCTAGGCAACAGAACTTCAGTCCTGAAACCAGTACAAGGAATTGAATTTAATAAGACTCTGAATGAGCTTCACAAATCTTCCGCCAGAGCCTCCATACACAGCATAGCTCCAGCCAACACCTTGATTTCAACCTTCTAAGACTCAAGGACTTAGATGAACCTATTCAATTTTCTGACCTAAAAAAAAAAACAAAACAAAACAAAAAAAAACAAAAAAAAAAAACAAAAAAAAACTGAGGTAATAAATTTGTCATTTAAAACTGCTAAATTTGTGGTGATTTGTAAAGGTGGCAAGAAAACTAACACAGATCGCATGTTCCAGAATCAAATACATTTAAATGGCTTAAGTCAAGGATGTGTTGGTAAGAAAGAACACAAGAGAGGCCATGGATGAAGTCAGTAAGGCATACAGAGTGAACATGATTATTACTACTATGCCAGCCATGGAGATGTCCTAAAACTTATGAACATATAAGCAACAGATGATGTGGCTCCAAACCAAAGAGGTAAGAATGAAAGGAGACAGAGCCAATAGGTTTTTGGAATATCCTCAGCAGAAACACTCTGTCAGTGTCTGACTGATGTTAGAGATTACAAGGCAGCTACAGATAACTCAAACTATTTTAGTTCTGGTGACTTGGTGGATAATGATATTTCACAAACAAAGAAACATTGGAGGAGCACTGTATTTTGAGGAAGCTAAAAACACTGAGGTAGGAATATATTTTCTTTTAGTTTAGTAATAATGGAGTACAAAATTACAAATGTTAAACTGGTGAGTAAACAAAACAAAACAAAACAAAACAAAACACTTACTTTGTTGGGCTCTTACCTCGACTGTTGCTTTCTGGATAGGCAAGTGTAGGCTTGTTTGGAGAGCGCCGTAGATCACTATTAAGGAAAGGCTTGTCTGTTGGGTATACTACATATGGAGATGAAGAATGGCGAACCATACTTCCATTAGACCTTGATGGTTCAGTTAAGATGTTCTGGAAAATAAAAACAAAGAAATTACTTTTCAAAAATTTGAACCACAAATAACACACTGAAACTGCAAACATTAATGACAAAGAATTGTATTATCCATGTTCCACTTGATAGAGCTAACAGAAAAAATAGCGCTCACTAAATACAATAGAATTTAACCATTATTTTAACAAAATCTAATTTTAAAGTGTTTTACATTTGTTTAAATATAGCCATATGCCAGACAGTATAAAAAATAATGGTTATACAACTTGAATGTAAATGCTGCACAGAAATAAACATACTGTATCTTAAAATATACCCTGTGAGACACAAACAGCTTGCAGAACAACCAAGTTGGATAACTGACTGGTTTTCTGGGTTGAAATTCTCAGTTTGACTAGTTGAATGAACTTGAACTTTGATTTTCCAACAAGACTGATTCTTTCAGTCGACAAGGCCATGCAAATTTCCAGCTGAATTACAAAAGCATAAAAAATACACTGTAGTTATGAAAATGAAAAAGGTGGCTAAAGAGTTTAGGAAGCCTGGACCAGAGCTTTGGCATAGCGGGTAAAGCATCCCATATGGGTGCCGGTTTGAGTCCTGGCTACCCCACTTCCAATGATCCAGCTCTCTGCTATGGCCTGGGAAAGCAGAAGATGGCCCAAGTCCTTGGGCTCCTGCACCCACATGGCAGACGTGGAATAAGTTCCTGGCTCTGGATGGGTGCAGTTCTGGCCATTTTGGCCAACTGGGGAGTGAACCACCAGATGAAGACCTCCCTCTCTCTCTCTCTCTGCCTCTCCTCTCCCTGTGTAACTCTGCCTAAGTACTTGGGCCTTCTTCTACTGCTTTCCCAGGAACATTAGCGGATAGCAGAAAGCGTTAAGAGGGGGAATCATAAACATAATCACTAAATATTAAAAGATTAACAAATTTTGGGTGGCACAGTGGGGCAGCAGGGTTAAGCCACTGCCTGCAGTAAAAGGAATCCCATATGGGTGCCAGTTCAAGCCCCGGCTGCTCCATTTCCCATTCTGCTAATGAGCCTGGGAAAGCAGCAGCAGATGCACCAAGTGCTTGGGCCCCTGCCCGTATGTGGGAGATTCAGATGAAGCTCCTGGCTTTGGTCTGGCTCAGCCCTGGCTTTTGTGGACATTTGGGGAGTGAACCAATGGATCAAAGAATTTTCTCCCTTTGCTTCTCCATCTTTCAAATAAATAAATATTAATAAAAAAGTAATAAATTTTGCTATAGTACATTAAGAACTTTTATTAGTCGAAAGATATCAAAAACAAGCCAAAGTGTATTTGGAAGTTATAAGATTGGGGATTAAAATCCAGAATAAATGACTATGTCAGCAAGAAAAAACTCCTTTGAAAAAGACACTAACTGACATTTCAGAGGAGAAAAAAATTTAAAAGAAATAAATCTTTAAAAAAAATTAAAGAATAATAAAGACCAAAAAAGGTGCATCCCCAGCAAGGATTGCAGAAACAAATCAGAAAATAGGATACCATTTTACACTGCACTTTTACCAAAAATGTACTAATGGGACAATATCATTCATTAAATAGCGTATAGAGAGAATTGTTGGGGCCAGCGTTGTGATGTAGGTGGTAAAGCCACCACTTGCTATGCCAGCATCCCATATGAGTGTCAGTTCATGTCCCAGTTGTTCTATTTCTGATCCAGCTCTGTTAATGGCCTGTGAAAAGCAATGGAAGATGGCCGAAGTGCCCTTGTCACTCACGTGGAGACCTGGAAGAAATTCCTGGCTGCGGCCTTGCACAGCAGTGGCTGTTGCAGCCATCTTGAGAATGAACCAACAGATGGAAGATATCTGCCTCTTCCCTCTCTGTAACTCTGACTTTCCAAATAAATATATCTTAAAAAAATTGTTAGAAGGAATGTATTATTGCTTTAGAAAACAATTTTACATTATCAAGTAAAGCCAAAAATGCACATATTCTAAGATGCAGCATGTTGATATGGTCTAACTAGGCAGTTAGTTAGGCTTAGGTGAGCTGAAATATTTGTGGCCCTGCAATATGCTTGCCTACACTCATACTTTTAAATAAACCCTGTTCATATATATGGATGCCTCTGCTTTGAAATTTTCTATGTGTGGGGGTAAAGACCTGGAATCAAAATTAAGATACAGGGCTGGTGTTCTGGCACAGCCAGTAAAGCTGCCACCTGTATTGCTGGCATCCCTTATGGGCACCAGTTCGGAACCCAGCTGTTCCACTTCCCATCCAGCTCTCTGCTATGGCCTGGGTAGGCAGTGGAAGATGGCCCAAGTCCTTGGGGCCCTGTGTCCACATGGGAGACCTGGAGGAGGCTCCTGGCTTCAGGTCAGCCCAGCTATGGCCATTTTAATAATTTGGAGAGTGAGCCAGTGGATGGAGGATCTCTCTCTCTGCCTTCCAAATAAATAAATCTTTTAAAATTAAATTAATATGCATAGGCCCATATCAATATGAATGTGACTCGTAGATATACTTGAACTGTTTTCTCTTCTTTTTAGAAAATTATGGCTGAGTCAAATCCACTATACATTACTGTTAAAACCCACAGTTCAGCCTGCAGCTTGAAAAATCACTGCTCTAGAGTTAGCCCTTAGGACCCCTTCCCTACTCTAAAAAAAAGATGGTGGATTCTCATATCTGCTTCTACATTCCCTCTGTTAGATAAATATGATGGTTGATGTATACGAAGAAAATCTGTTCTCCCACAAACATGTAATTGAACAGGGAGGGATTTTTTTTTTTTTTGAGATTTACAAACATTTATTAGAGATAAAGACCTCCAGCCAGAGCGGCATGGAGTGGGGCATGGAGGGATTTTGTAGATTCCATTCATTTTTTTTTATTTGAAAGTCAGAGTTACACAGAGAGAGAGGCAGAGAGAGAGGTCTTCCATCTGATGGTTCACTCTCCAACTGGCCGCCAACAGCTGAAGCTGTGCCGATCCAAAGCCAAGAGCCAGGAGCTTCTTCCAGGTCTTCCACGTGGGTGCAGAGGCCCAAGGACTTGGGCCATCTTCTACTGCTTTCCCAGAGAGCTGGATCAGAAGAGGAGCAGCCGGGACTAGAACCTGTGCTCATATGGGATGCCGGCACTTCAGGCCAGGGCATTAACCTGCTGCGCCACAGGGCCAGCCCCTAGACTCCCTTCATGAAAAGGACTCAGAGACCCTCTAAGGATCCTTTCAACACTTTTAGGGATGCTTCTGCCATGTGGAGTACATAACTGCTGCACTAGACAAACTTCAGCCATGTGGAGTATATGAGGATGACCGCAACAGGCCTGTTTATAATATGGGGCAAAACTCCAAATAAACAAAAAGACCTGGAAATGCTTTAGTCCATCATTTACCAACTGTACAACCTTGACTTAACATTTCTGTACCTCATTTTGCTCACCTGAAAATGAAAATACTAATGCCAATCTCTTAAGGTTACTGTGAATATTAAATGAGTTAATACATAAGACAATGCCCACTAAATAATACTATGCATCATAATCTTAAAATGCATGGTAGTGAGAGAAAATGAGGGGAAAGGCCAAAGGACCACGAAGACGTAAAAAGCATGAAGGTTATCATTTTACTATTCTCAAAAATCTAACAGCAGGCATTTGGTGCAGTGGCTTAAACTGCTGCTTGACTTAACCTTTCTGCGCCTCATTTTGCTCACCTGAAAATTCAAATACTAATGCCAATCCCTATGTCCTAAGTTGGAGCACCTGATCTGTACCCCAGATTCTCCACTCCTCCACTTGCTCTAGCTTCCTGCTAAACTGCAACCTGGAAGGCAGCAGACGATGGCTCAAGTAACTGGGTCTGCTTCTGCCAGGCCCAGCCCAGGCTACTGTGGGCATTTAGGGGGAGAGAACTGATGGGTGGAAGATCTTTGTCTCTATGCCTTTCAAATAAAATGAAAATAATTTTAAAAATAAATCATATATTCAATATGTTAAATACAAATATATTTCATAGGAAATTAATATGGAGCTACCGTAAGGCCTGACTGAAAAAAAAAGCCCTAGACAAATAAGTTTATTAATTTAGTCCAAGGTTACATGATGGTGTTCACTATAGTTATTTAAGGGAAAATATCAAAAGACTGATATGAAAGGCATTCTTCTGAGTCTCAAAACTTGGCTCCCATAGCTCAACTGAGCATTATTCTATTATATCCAATCAGTTGTTTCCTGTACTCTCCACTAGCAAGCTACTAGCAACAATCAGTAATTGTTACCTGCTGTTGCTACTACTCTTGCAGCTGTTGAAGTGAAAGAATAAGGACCACCTGAAAACTTCTTCTATGTTCATATCTGATTTTTAGAAGATAGCTGCTTTCTAAAGACTGTTATTTGTGAATCTAAGCATTAAAAATCCTTGTCTGGTAAAAGCATCTCTCATTTATAACACCTGCCTGTTAGGTTTATCAATGCTGAACACATGGGTTATTAGCAATCACAACCCTGAAATCTAAACAAGTCTTCTGAGTTCAGTTTGGAGTTTTGAAGTATCCTCATGGCATCTTATGTATCACCAGCTGTTTATTAACATAAACTGCCACCTAACTTGTTTCTAATGGGACATGCAAATAAGACTTTCTTATGCACTAAGGAACCAACTATATGTAGCCACTTTTTTTTTTTTTTGAGATTTAAAAGTATTTATAAGAATCAAGGACTTCCAGCCAGAGCGGCATGGAGGGGGGCTTCCAAGAGAGGAAAATCCAAAGGGGACTGGTGGCAGTTGGCTTTAAGTACAATTTCGAAGCAAAAAAACTTATCAGGTAGCCACTTGTTTGAAAAACAGCAACTTCAGAATTAAGACATTTTGAAGTTGCTCTAGTTAAGATAGTTTGGTTTGTAAAGGACCTTAAATATTCCTAGTGTACTCTTGATATTTACAATCTACTTAAAGCTGGACTTAACACACAAAAACATGTGTAATTTCCACCTGAACATTAGCATTTCTGTCCAGGCTACCATATGGACTGAAGGACTGAACACAGCCCATTGCCACTGCTCAGCTAGGTGGCCTTGGCACAATGAAGCTCAATTTATTTATTTATTTATTTATTTTTTCAAATTTTATTTATTTTCATCGTATTTGAAAGACAGAAAGAGGAGAGGGGAAGGGGGGTGGAGGACAAGGGAGGAGAGGCGGGGGAGGGGAGGGGAGGGAACAGAGATCTTCCATCCACTGGGATGGAAGTCTACATTGGGATTTAGTCTACACTTGGGCTTGAGCAGATTGTTGTGTTCTGTTCCTAGAAAAGTGGGATGTACATCTGAAATACATAGTCATATGCTACATAAATCTTTGTACTCTAAAACCATTTTCACTAGTGGAAGCCTGTTTCTGACAACTATGTGCTGCTTAGCAGGTCGCTATTTTCCCGGAAAAGCAATCCATTCTGGACATTTACCTGCATTATAATGCCCACACTTAAATATGGGTCATGGAAATCCTTGTAGTAGCTGCCCCTAGCATCTTGGAGCTGGTGCCAGCAGAAACCCCAGCACCAGCCATTCTTGGTTAAGATGTCGGTTGACCACCTGGGTTGTAGTATCCTAAACCTAACATCACAGGGCGTATGTTGAAATATTTCAAGTAAATTTTGGCTGTCACAGCAACATAGTTGGTAGATGAGTTTTGCTGACCAAGTTAGGCAGGGAGAATTGCTTTTATGTTTTTGTTTTTGTAAATGAATTTGTTGTCAACAGCAACAAAAAAGGGAACTCTTTTTTTTTTTTTTTTTTGATTTTTAAAAGTTTTATAAAAAGTAAATTGAAGTATATTGTACAACTTTCTAAAGGTTTCATGGCTTTTTTTTTTTTTTTAAACTTTTATTTAATGCATATAAATTTCCAAAGTACGACTTATGGATTACAATGGCTTTCCCCCCATACCGTCCCTCCCACCCACAACCCTCCCCTTTCCCACTCCCTCTCCCCTTCCATTCACATCAAGATTCATTTTCGATTATCTTAATATACAGAAGATCAGCTTAGTATACATTAAGTATGGATTTCAACAGTTTGCTCCCACACAGAAACATAAAGTGAAAAATAATAGATGATTTTTTAAAATGATGATGAAATCAGAGCAGACCTATTGTCATGTTTAATCCCAGTGAGAGTCAAGTTGGGAATTGATAATTTTTTTTTTTTTTTTTTTTACAGAGGATCAGTTTAGTATGCATTAAGTAAAGATTTCAACAGTTTGCACCCCCATAGAAACACAAAGTGAAATATATTGTTTGAGTACTCGTTATAGCATTAAATCTCAATGTACAGCACATTAAGGACATAGGATCCTACATGAGGAGTAAGTGCACAGTGACTCCTGTTGTTGACTTTACCAATTGACACTCCTGTCTATGGCATCAGTAATCTCCCTATGCTCCAGTCATGAGTTTCCAAGGCTATGGAAGCCCTCTGAGTTCTCCGATTCTTATCTTGTTTAGACAAGCTCATAGTCAAAGTGGAGGTTCTCTCCTCCCTTCAGAGAAAGGTACCTCCTTCTTTGATGGCCTGTTCTTTCCACTGGGATCTCACTCGCAGAGATCTTTTGCCAGAGTGTCTTGGCAATGAAGCTCAATTTAATTGTTTGGTCTCCCAGTACTAAATTTTGAGAGTTGTGAATGGTCCTCTTCTAAGTTTAATGACATCTTTTAACAGTTCCTTCTCTTTTACCTTACCTCTCACTAATCTAACTCCTTACTTCCTAATCTCCCCAGACTTCTCTGCAAATGTGTTAACCCATTCTGCTGAAGCTCTGGACTCCTTCTGGCCTCACTGTCACAAATTCTAACACAAATGGAAAGCTGAAAGTAAGGAAAAGTGGTTGTTCATAGGTGACTTTCATCTAACTGTTCCCTACATACTTTTTTCCCCTTTAGCGCCCATGAAATTACTTCACCTTGACATTCTCCAGGCTTCTTCCTAGGCCTGTTTTCATGTTCCCAACAAATTATACCTTTGTTCACTCTGGGTTATTGAAGTTTTCTGAAAGCACCCATCATCTTAAGGACATTCCCCCCACCCCCCTAAATGCCTGCCGTGTTTTTCTTCTCTTGTTTTGTGACAATCATTTAGAATTCCTTCAACACGCAGTTGACTCCTCCTTCCCTTCTGGGAACCCTTCTCTCACCTGGCCACACTGCTAACCACTCTAAATTATGCTAGTAGGGCAGTTTACCCCACACTGGACAGTAATCACTTATCAGACGTAGTTTCTCAGTGTCCTCTAGGCCTTTAAGAGCAGGGTATCTATTCTATTCACCTGTAATTCTAGAGCCTAACCACGCCAGGCCTATGTACAGATTACCAGTTGTCTCATTTGCTTCCCATCCCTTCCCAGTGTGGCACTTCCCACAGCAGTCAGTCTGACAAATACCCATGACCTGAACCGACAGGTGACTCCCTGGTGCAGGCAAAAAAAAAAACCCAGAACTACAGCCCAAATCAAGTTCCCTGGTCGCCTCTTCGAAAGGGCACTGCAGTCCTAGCAAATCCGTGGCGATCCGGCAGCGCTCTGGCTTTGGAGAGTCGCGCACTGAAGAGGAGACGGGGTACTGCAGGCCAAGGAGGCAGCCCAGGCAGCGCGTAGACCGCGCTGGAGGGTCACAAGGGGGCTGCGGCCGACTCGCGAGCGCTCTCCTAGACACACGGGCGCGCACACCTGGTCTCGGCGCCTCGCTAAGAGCAGCCGTTACACTCACGTGACCTCAGCAGCAATGTTTTCGCAGGCCAGGGAGCGGGCGCCGTCAGCCCAGCCCAGCCTCCTGGGCTGCGAGGCAGGCCGAAAAGCGAATGAGGCGGCAGGGGGGTCGAACCAAGCCTGCTTCAAGGGATCCCAGAGGGTGCGGCCTCAACAGGGAGCAGCGGAAGCCCGGGTGGCGCGGGGCGGTCTAGTGCCCCACGCCGGCCTCCAGCGTCAGAGCAAATCTAGGGCGCCCTGAAATGGGACGAAACTCGAACAGCTGCCAAGAGCGACCTAAAGCCCGTTCGAACGCCAAACGCTTCTCACCGAGAACTGAGAACCAGAAGCCGTAGAGACAGATGCCGCCGCCATCTTCCGGAGTGCCCGGCGCTCTGAGTTCTCGTGCTCTTCAAGATTCGAGAGCCGCCCACCAGGGGCGACCCTAAACCGAACCCCGGATGGAAGGGGCGGGGGGTGCTGGATGCCCAGCTTAGAAACCCCAGCCACACACCCCCACGGCGACGCCCACGCTCAGGGCGCACGCGGAGAGGGCAACACGCATTAACGGACGTCTGCAGTAGCCAATCAAATAAAGCGGACGTCTTCGCGTATGCGAGAGAACCCGCCCCCCTGCTGACGTCACAAGGTAGAGAGTCACTGAGCGCGCCCGGGACCCGTAACTGCGCGCCGCCGGGGCCTCAGGGCGTTCTACCCAGGGGCGGGTCTTCCCACGGAGGGAACTGGGGCGAGGGGATTGTGTGGTCGCCAGTGGCAACGGAACTGAATTGTTGAACTAGAGTAAAGGCGAATGCGAAGTCCAAACCACTCCATCACGTCCCTTGGATCAAACGCCTGAGAAAACCTCAGTTTGAGTTGGGGACGCCTCTCCAGGTGAAGTACTTACCTTTTGGCCAATAACATAGGATTGGGCGGGGCTTAGTGATTTGGCCCAAGAGAAGTCAAGGGGAAAATGTCGAGGCAGAGCAAATCTTTCGCGAATCCTTGCCCAATTGGATCGGGGCTCCCTCACCCAGGCCTCGGACTGGCTGCTAGGGAGCGCGGCGACGGGGACCTTTGGGCGGGGCTGGTTTCAAGCGGGTTTCGCGCGCTGAGAGCGCCGGGCTGTCATTGGCCGGCGACTTCCTCCCTTTGTGGGCGCGCTCTGCGTAGTTGGGGCTCGGCGTTGGGAGGAGCGACCGGGTGACGTAGTATCCGCTGCAGCCAATCAGGCGTGCGGAAGGGAGGCCGAGAAGGAAGCGGATCCGCGGCCGTGCAGCTGAACCGCCCCGAACTCTCGGCGTCGTCTCCCTCCGCCGCTGTCGGGGCCTAAGCGGGAGAGGCGGGGACGGCCCCGCTGGGTGGGCTGGGGCGGAAGTGGAGGCGGAGGGAGACGACGGCGGCGTCGTCCGCGGGGCCTCGGGCTCTCGCGGCGAGGCCCTGGTGGGCGCGAGGCAGGGGGAGGGGGCGGAGGAGGAGTCCGCAGCGCGGGCCGCGGCGGCCGAGTTCCCCGTGGGGCCCCGCCTCGGAGCGGGCGGCGGCGACGGCGGAGGAGGAGACTGAGGGGCAGGATGGCGGCCTCGGCCCTGTACGCCTGCACCAAGTGTACCCAGCGCTATCCCTTCGAGGAGCTCTCCCAGGGCCAACAGCTCTGCAAGGTCCGTGGGCAGCGGGCTGGCGGGGTTTCCTGTGCCGTAACCCGAGGGTGCTGGGTGGTCGCTGCGCTGCAGCCCCCTGCTCTTCACGAGCACCAGGGGGCTTGGGAGCCCGGAGTCCTAGCCTCCCCACCGGGACCCGGGACCCCGCGTTCCGATGGCGTTGGCACCGGCCGGGAAAAGGCCCACGAGAGGGAGACCGTCTTCCAGACGGGCCGGGAGGGGGCCGGTCCTCACCAGCGTCCGGGGGTCTCGGGTGGGGCTGAGTGAGGCAGCCACCTGTCTCTGCCGCAGAGACTCTGGGGTGGAGATGTTTTCATCTCGGTGTTCTGCCTGGTCTGTCCTCGCCTTCCACCAGGAGGCAGGGGACGGTTTTTGCACTTTCTTGCTAGGAACCCGAAGCCGCCAAGCTGATGGCATCCTTCTTCCCTGTCCAGGAAAGCGAAGCGACTGGTTTGGGAACAGAATGCTCTATGATTTGGAGCTCCTCCCATCCCATTAAAGCCGGAATGCTGTCTGTGAGCAACGGTGAAAATAAGTAGTTCCACATTTAACCAATCCTTGAAATCGGCCCTGACAGCTTTCTTACTTTATCCGGAGTATAGTCCCACGTGTAATAAAGACAAAGACACCTCTGCCTTCCCTAAGGAATTATATCGTGATTGGCCACTTACATGACAAATCACCAATTGTTTACGTTAGGGGCCAGGTTTTATTGTTGTTCTAGACATCTGACCAGATTTGGTAATAATTTTCTACCAGAAAAGTAAGGTTTGGGACTTGGAGATATCTACATACTGACTAACGTATTGTCTTATTGCAGGAATGTCGGATTGCACATCCTATTGTAAAATGTACTTACTGCAGATCAGAATTCCAACAAGAGAGGTTTGTACATCAGTTTTTGATCGTTAAAGACAGAATACCATCTGGAAGGAGTACTTGGGGGTTGTAATCTGGTATTTATATCATCTTAAAAAATGGTTTAGTCTCTGAGACTTTGAGTTGTAAATGTTTTATATGTGGTAGGAGAGAATATAGAAAATGAAACAGTGGTGGTCATTTTACTACCTGAACTGGACGTGGAAAAATAAAGGCTAAGATACTAGTGTGGAAAATGTGCAGCCATGCTAAGAAGAATGGAAGGGTGAAGATTACTGTTAAGCTACAGAAGATAGCGTGTGAATGGATCTGAGGACAGGTCTACAGTGTTATCAACTGCCTTATTTTGATAGTGAAATCTGGTAACTTGGTACCAGTAGAATTGCATACTTTTTAACAAGTAATTCCGGGTTGGGAGCACTCAAGAAGGTAACCTAGGAGAAGTGCAGATAATTTCTAAATAAGTAGAGATGGTCATTGTAATAATAGACAAAGGCCATGTGGAAGATGAGGTAGGCAGGCACTGATACGTAATGCTGTGCATTAATAATGGCAAGTGTGGGAAGGTTGTCCAACTAGAGAGGAAACTCTAGGATTTTGTTTTGTATCCTTTAAAAAGCACACAATAAAAATGTGTAAAAACATCTGTGTTAAGTTAATGGAAAAGGAATAAATTGGGGTAAAATAGCCCAAATAAGAACTTTGTGTAGGTATTGTTAAAAAGTGAAGGTGTATTACAATTTTAAGTATCATAGATATTTGACTCATCAGTTTACTTAGTTCATCATTGTGCTGATCATCTCAGAAGCTTACATAAATATGATCTTTCATACGTAATTTCTTTTTCAGCAAAACTAACACAATTTGTAAGAAGTGTGCTCAAAATGTGAAGCAATTTGGGACAGTAAGTATGTCTTCTATTTTAATTTCCTATTGTTACTGATCAGTTAAGGTTTATCCCAAAGGTGTACTGCTTAAAAAATATGCATTGCTATATCTGTGTGTATTTTAACATGTCAGAATACTTTATGAAAATACTTTCTGTAGACAGTCTGATGGAACGTTCACAACATTTAAAAACAGTGGAAATATGCAAATGTTTTATGTACTGTATTTTAAATTTCATGTGCAAGTCACAGTTACTGTTTAAAAGCTATTGTTTTAGAGATTCAAATATAGCAAACTCCTGGATAGGGAGAGCCTACTTGTTTATAAAGTTGGTATAATCAGACTTCCCTGGCAGCACAATTCAGGTATTTTTTGACAATGCTCATGACATTCACCTGGTAAAGATTGTCCTATATAAGGGCACTGCAGAAAGTTTAGGGAAAAATGAAAATTAAAAAATGCACATTTTCTGTCAACTTTCTGAATATTTTAGTCATTATTGGTATGTTATCCTGATATTAGTTAAGGTGCTGAGTTGTCTGTCAATATTGAAAAAAATCAGAGTGTAGTTCTTAAGGTTGAAGTTTAATATCTTGTGCCTGTTTTTTTAAGTTGAAAACTACCTGTAATGTTGTGTTCTTTATATCATCTGTACCTGGATATGATGAAAAGATCATGTTTTTGAATAAATGATGTGGTAATTAAACTTGTCGGGATACGAAATTAGCAGAAGTTCTTTCCCCAAAATTTATGGATACATGAAACTTTTCTATACATGTGTACCTTTGTTTTCATAACTTTTGTATTACATAACATACTGTGTGAGTCTTATGTAAATATTCCAACAAAGTGACAGTGAGTTCATTATTTGAGAAGTAAATATTGAATAATAGAGGTTATAAATGTTATTGAATATAACAATGACAGTCTGGACAAGAAACAAGTTTTTTACTTGTTTTCTTACTCTCAGAAACAAGAACTGAGCATGTTTTATGCAGCAGATTTTTAATATTTTTAAATGTCTGATAGAAATATGTATCTGCTTTTTCAGCCCAAACCTTGTCAATACTGTAACATAATTGCAGCGTTTATTGGTACCAAGTGTCAGCGTTGTACAAATTCAGAAAAAAAATATGGACCACCTCAGACCTGTGAACAGTGTAAACAACAATGTGCTTTTGATCGGAAGGAGGAAGGAAGAAGAAAGGTATGTTTTGACATCTTCTGCCAATTAAATAAAATACTACACGAGTTAGAAATTATTTTAATTGACACATTGCTAAGACATGACGTTTTCTTTGGGTCTGTAAAAGTGGATAGTTCCAATAGCGAGTTTTCTTGTTGTATCATGTAGATCTGTGTTAATTAGGATTATAATACTTGTAAAAATATTCTGGGGTGTCTGTTCTGCACCATTTAGTTATCACTGTTTTTGGGAGACTTACTACATGCTATCAAATAAATCATTTCACTTCTTTCTTAGTCTTTTCCTGATCATTTAAAGTTACTGATATGAAGAAAATTCCCTGGTGTGGCCCATTAGCACATAAAATTCAATGGAAGTCTTGTGCCTCATGGTGGGAGCTTTTACTTTGAAACTTGTTTTCTTCCACGTATCATGACATAATAAGTATATTTAAGTGGGTAGTATTTTACCATTCGTATTCTCTGGTTTCAGTTCATTTGGAGGATTACTGTCTCTGAGGGGCTTCTCTTGATCCCTGCACCCCAGTGTATGAACCCTAGTTGTAAAATATGTCTCTCCAGCACTTCTTGAGTGAACAAACAAGACACAATCTTTTATCTTAATAACCTGTTTTTTTACCTTTTAAAATAGATAAAGCTGTTGCTCATTATTTGTGGTAGTTATATAGTCGCCTCACACCACTCAGTCATTGCTGCTAAGGGAAATACAGTATTAGGTTTTTGTTTATGGTTAGAATGTATTGGTCAGCGGATATATGTGTGTATATATATATATACACACACACACACATCATGTATATATGTGTGTGTATGTTTATTTGAATCTCTATATGTGATTGATTTATTTGAACTCATGGCCAACAACCATAACAATGCCTGAACAACATACATACTTTGTCCAGAAGGCATATTTCAGCCTTCTGAAGCTTAGACTGTAATACAGCACTTAAGCTCATGTTTGTAAACATCAAAATCATTGACAGCAGAAATCTTAGCATCATGAAATTAAATAGATTATGAAAAGAATACCTGTTTACAGTAAGAAGTAAAACACCTTCCTTGTCACCTTATTCTATTTCATCTGGGAACATGTGCTGTCCATTGACAGACAATTTTTGACCCTATGGCTGTGCCCAAATGACCATAAAAGTGCTACAAATATTAAATTGGGGGTTACATGTAAAAGTTATTTATCAAGTAGTCTTACTTGCAAATCCAAAATCCAAGGATAATAACAATCAACTATATCACTTAGGCTCTCCTATCTTTATAAATTCACAGTACTTACAGTAGAAGGAAATACCTATTGTTTTAGTAATTTCACAGTCATTTAAGAGTTCAGACTAGATTTCCTGGAAGTTTATTGTCAACTTATGCTTATTTTCCAGAAATAATAAAAGTAACGTCTGTCTTCAAATTAAAAGTGCCTCAAAATGGGCTGGCGCCGTGGCTCAATAGGCTGATCCTCCGCCTTGCGGCACCGGCACACCGGGTTCTAGTCCCGGTCGGGGCACCAGATTCTGTCCCGGTTGCCCCTCTTCCAGGCCAGCTCTTTGCTGTGCCCAGGGAGTGCAGTGGAGGATGGCCCAAGTGCTTGGGCCCTGCACCCCATGTGAGACCAGGATAAGTACCTGGCTCCTGCCATCGGATCAGCGCGGTGCGTCGGCCGCAGCGCGCCGGCCACGGCGGCCATTGGAGGGTGAACCAGCGGCAAAAGGAAGACCTTTCTCTCTGTCTCTCTCTCTCACTGTCCACTCTGCCTGTCAAAAAAAATAAAATTAAAAAAATAAATAAGAAAGTGCCTCAAAATGAATGGGTATAGTGTCCTCACCAGTTTTATAATCCATCAAACAAGCATTTGCCTGAGGTTAAGAAAAGTCTGAATTACTTCCATTTTGCAAAAATCTGTGAATCCTGCCTGTGCACATGTGAGGTACATTTGTATGAAGTATAGCTAGAAGTTGAGCAGTTTATCTTAACTGGCTTCACTTTTCAGTTTATGCCTACACTTACTCTAATAGATATATTTTCTTAAAAGGTTGATGGAAAGTTGTTATGCTGGCTGTGTACTTTATCATACAAAAGAGTTTTACAGAAGACAAAAGAACAAAGGAAGACTCTGGGATCCTCACATTCAAATTCATCTTCTTCATCTCTTACTGAGAAAGACCAGCATCATTCAAAACATCACCACCACCATCATCACCATCACCATCGTCACAGCAGTAGCCATCACAAGTGAGTACTCTGAAATCATGTTTTCTAAAATCTTTTCTGACATTTTGATGCCTTATTAGTGTTTACTTCTTGCAAATGTTGACTGCATTAATCTAGTTTTCATTGTCCCTGGTGGTAAGCTTCTTGAGTGTCTAAGGCTATGTCCTCACATTTATGCAGTCTGTAAAATCACACAGATGGAATGTGTTTCATTGCTTACCGTAAGAAAAGATATTTAGGAAGTTAATTGATAAAGTTTTGATTATGAAATGAAATGCCAAGTACATCAGGCTTAGTGTTTAGTGATTTAAATTCAAAAGTGTGATGTTTTTTGTATTTAAATAATTGTTAGATTTTACTTGTAAAAATTATGTTCACCTCAGTTACATATTTAGTAGAACCAGTTTTTAACCAGATACTGGGAAATACACAGTTGGTCTTTTTTAGAGAACTTAGAGCATGACCATCTGTGGTCTTTATAAAAAGAGTTTTAATCTGAAAGTTGCCCAAAGTGGTAGAAATAACATTTTTTACTAGTTACACTTTACCTTTTCTTTTTTAAACACACATAGGTAGGAATCTTGTTCAAATATAACTGCTTGATTTTTAAAGTGACTTTGCTAGGGAAGTTATATAATGATAATATCTTAACTCTTTGTATGCGTTGTGTGAAGAGTTTATAAAAATGTAGTGTTAGTTTTCATGGAAACGCTTGGAACATCAAAACATAAACACTTGCAAACACAGATGAAGATGAAAACATAGGGACATTAAACACCCATTTGCAGAATAATTCAGTGTTCCTAAATATCTGTAAATCTTTAAAGATTCAGATAGCTATTTAAAGTGTAATTAATTTACAGAAAACCAATACTTACTATATTTTGGAACATGATGGTGATATCTTTAGGACATAATTTGTAGTTCTGTCTAATTAATAAGATTTAATTCTAAATACACAAGCACCTATAAGTTTATGAAACTTATTAAGGCACTAATATTTATTTACACCATGTTCTAGTGCTTTCTGTGTGTGACATTGGTAGAATACAGTGACTTCTTAAAAAGCTATTTAAAAAAAACAAACTTGGCTCTTCTTATCAGTGTCCCAGGAAACATAAGTGTTTCCTTGTTTTTACATCTGAAAAATATCACAGAATATCTATAAAATATAATGGCATGTATGAGAACTTCTTAGACACTCTGGAAATGTCTTTTTTCTGTGACATTTTTGGATTAGTTTGTCATAGCATGCTGTGAAAGCACACAATTGGGTATGTTTGTAAAGGTCAAATGATGTGATGGTAACCCCTTCTTTTGGGAGTATGAGAGGTTTCAAAAGTAAAGTAAAAGAGGACAATGTTGATTTCAAGATTATTTTCCTTTCAGTCACTCAAGAAATACAAGCACTGTTGTATTCGGTGACTACAGACCATCTGATGGACAGACAACCAGTTTGTACGGTCCTATTTAAAAGTTCAGTGTATTAGAACAAATATGAGAAACATACATATTGTGAATGATGGTAATTAACAGGGATAGAGGTGGCAGAGTGTGGCACTATGGTCTAGATCCAGGAAGGCAAAGCTCAGAAAGCTTAGTGTTCCCAGTGTTTTCTCATTTTGAGATCTGGTTAATGCTATTAATCCATGTAATTGATTAAGTAGCTTGCTAATGATTATGATAAAAATTGTAGGAGAAAAGGGCAATTGAGTCCCTTAGTAGAGATGGCACTCTTTCACAGGTTAGTAAAGAATAATTCCAGTTGATGGAATCACAGCTACTCTTTCCCCAACTTGTTATTTTTAGCTAATTCTTAAGAACATGGTCTGTTTTTTATACTTTCAATTTAAAAAACCCTCTAAAACTTAAACATTAGTAAATTTTTTTACAGATGTATTTATTTTGAAAGAGTTACAGAGAGAGAGAGAGAGACAGATACAGAGAGAGATCTTCCATGTATTGGTTCACTTCCCAGTTGGCCAGCACTGGGCCAAGCCAAAAGCAAGAGCCAGGAGTTTCATCTGGATCTTCCACATGGGTGGCACGGGCCTACGCACTTGGGCCATCTTCCATTGCTTTCCCGAGGTTATTAGCAGGGAACTGGATCACAAGGGGAGCAGCTGGGATGTGAATCAGCACCCTTATGGGATACCAGCATAGTAGGCATTGGCTGTACCCACTATACCCCAACAGTAGTAAATTCTATACATACTCATAAACCTTCATAAAATTATTTTGTATGTTACCACTAAGTGCTTTTACATATATAACTCATTTAATGCTCATATTCCCACAAGCTATTTTTATATCCATTTTACAGATGAAGAAAGTGAAGGGTCTTTTTGTTTTGTTTTCTTTGCTTTATTTATTTATTTGAAAGGCAGAGTCAGGCAGAGAAAGAGAGGTCTTCCATTCACTGGTTCACTCCCCAAATAGCCTCAAAAGCCACAGCTGGGCTGATTCTAAGTCAGGAGTTTGGAGGTTCTTCCAGGTCTCCCACGTGGGCACAGTGGCTCACGGGACTCAGTCCATCCTCCATTGCTTTCCTAGGCCATAGCAGAGGTTGGATTGGAAGTGGAGCAGCTGGGACTCAAACCCGCACCGTATAGGATGGCGGCACTGCAGGCAGCAGTTTTACCCGCTAAGCCACAGCTTTGGCTCCAAGGATGAGGGTTTTAAAGTAACTGGCACAACAAAGCCACATAACCCAGATCTTCTAACAGCTCTTAAATGGTACAAATATGTGATTTCTGGTTCACAGGGCATTCTCTCCTGTACATGGAATGAATAAACTGGGGGTTAGTGAAGGGTAACTGATGTGCAGGTCCAGGAGATAAGAAGTAGGATTTATAGTGAATTCTCAGGTGGCAATTAGTATTATGACAAAATGGAAAAGAAAAGATGTATTATATATAAGTAAAAATAAAATTATTTATTACTATGAATTTATCAATATTTACATGATGTCTCTCCTCCAGAGTTCTGACTAAAACATCTAGACTTGGGAGAAGATTGTTAGAAAAACTGGTAGAGAATCAAAGAAATTAAATTAAGATAGGTCCTCATTCAACTTGACACTATTTTAAGCAACTTGAATTACTCAAAGGGAAGAATTTCCACTTGGGGTTACTGAGGACAGAAGGACAGTGATCGCAGACTTTATCATTGTAGAACACTGTTGTAGTTCTCAGTCATGTATCACAGTCCTTGGTATGATTATTAAATTGAATTTTGGAGATCCTGATTAAAAAGAATATTCGTTTTTTGTGGTTGGGTTGTACCTTTCCTGAAGAACTTAGGATGGCTGGTAGTTGTCTGATTAAAATTTATCGCATCAGAATAATTTAGTCAACATATATTTGCTTAGGAAGCTTAAAACTTTTCTTTGCACAAAAGGTTTTAAACATGCGAGTATAGTCCAGTGAGGTAAATGATGAACCTAATGACTAGATATGTTCTGAGAAATTCATCGTTAACGCCATTTATCATTGTGTAAGCATCATTGAGTGAACTTAGACGAACTAAGATGACCATTACATTGTTAGATGATGTATTCTTAAGGGACCACCATCATGTATGTGCCTTGTCTTTGACAAAAACATTGTTATAGAGTACATAGCTTTTAATCTGATTCCAGTGAGAAAGAATGCTGTTAAATGTGGATGTATTAAATAAATGTTATCAGATGTCATTTATGTATTTTTCAGAATCAGCAGTTTAAGTCCAGAGCAAGAGCAGGGACTGTGGAAACAGAGGTAAATGCACTAATAAGTTTTCTGAATTATTTGAGATGTATTCTTTTAAATGTGATATCATTTAAAACTTTGTTTTATGACTTTAAAAAAATCATTGATGTTTAGTAATTTTTGAGGAGGAAGAATAACTTTAGTACATCTGCCATTTTTACTCTAATTATTCTTTTTAATTTTTTATTTCAGCCATAAATCCTCTGCAGCAATTCAGAATGAAACTCCAAAGAAGAAGCCCAAATTGGAATCTAAGCCATCTAATGGAGATAGGTAAAAATGAAATCTTTTAGTGTTATCAAAATTCAACTGAATTGAACAGTTACAGTTGATTGCCAATTAAGAATAGAAACATATATCTTCTATTTTGGATTCTTTGAGTTTCTGAGAATAAGCATTATTTAAAAAATTAATTTTGGCAATAAAAAAGTGGCACTGAACTATGTTCTATTTGGGGAATAAATTTGGGTTTAGAGAAAAGAAAACTCTAGAGAGTATTCTCTTTATCTTAATTCTTCAAAGAAACACAAATCTAATTGTGATATTTTAAAATTGACCTGCTTAGAAAATGTTTTTAGACTTAAAATATTATGAACGTGACTTTGTTTTAGTTCATTAGCCAAAGTTTGCTGATGTTACTGTACAAATTGGCTGCCTATTGCTTTACACTAGAAGTATTGACCCCCTAAAAGCTAATACTGAATTATATTTCTGCAGGTGTATGTAATGTGTGCCATTAGTAAGGTAATTTGCCAGTTGCATCCATTTCTGTCAGGTACATATTTTTTTGCATTAGCCTTAAGGATGTTTGTGGAATTGTCTAATTTATGCAATTTGAACACCTGCTAATTTTTCTTCTACTTCATTAACTGTGCTTTACTTTTTTCTTTTTAGTAGCTCTATAAATCAGTCAGCAGATAGTGGGGGAACAGACAATTTTGTCCTCATAAGTCAACTGAAAGAAGAAGTGATGTCACTTAAGCGTCTCTTACAGCAAAGAGACCAGACCATTTTAGAAAAAGACAAAAAGGTAAGAACATAGTTCACTGAAACCTGGTAAGATAGGTGTCTTGATTGTTGCTTGATAACTGGAAATTTTATTAGACTTGTAACAGTTTAGCAATATTTGTTGTTCGTGATTGTTATAAGACAAATTTCAGAAGCCCAGCTTGGTATCTGAGTCATCTGATGAAGATAGATAAAAATGATCTTTGAGAATTTTAGTCACAAGAATTAAATGAGAACTCTTTATGATTAGTAATAATACTGATTTTTTTCAGTATGCATACAATTTTTTTAAAAGATTTATTTATTTGAAAGACGGAGTTAGGTAGAGAGAAAGAGAGATTTTCCATCCGCTGGTTCACTCCCCAAATGGCTGTAATGGCCAGAGCTGCGCTGATCCAAAGCCAGGAGCCAGGATCTTCTTCTAGGTCTCCCACACAGGTGCAGCAGTCCAAGAACTTGGGTCATCCTCTGCTGCTTTCCCAGGCACATTAGCAGAGAGCTGGATTGGAAGTGGAGCAGCCAGGACTTGAACTGGCATCCATATGGGATGCTGGCTCTGCAGGCCAGGACTTTAACCTGCTGTGCCACAGTGCCAGCCCCTTGCATGCACTTTTAAAAGAGGCCTAGTATCTTAATATTTAAAAATGAAATGTAACTGGAATTTTGTGTAAACTCTAATAATAGAAAAACATAAAGGAACATAGTCTCTGGTTTGCTAATCATGTATTTATATTGGTCCAGATCAAATAACTGGTGAAAAGTTATAATGTAGGAATTTCCTGGGTGGTGGTACCTGAGATCATTTTGTAGGAAGTAAGTGTTCCTGTTGGAACTTTGTTTCTTTAAATCAGAAAGAAAATCAAATATGTTGTCCATTTGATGAAAAGAGGAATGTTAACAGAATAGAGGTGCTTCAGGTGCTTAAGGTAATTATATTCTGTGAAATCATAGCATAAGAGCAGACAGACATGGAATATGAAACAGGGGTTTGGAAGTCATTTTAGCCATACCAAATTATTCCAGTTCTAAAACTTTCTGTGTGACCTTGAACATAATGCTTTTATTTCTCTGGGCCTCAAGTTTTCTCATTTTAAAAATGGAAGCATTAGTACTGTTTCATGAGATGTGGTGATTAAATGAAAATGCAAAGTATTTACTACAACTCCTAGCATATGTGTGTTCATAGTTACTTTTACTAATGCTTGGTTACGTTTGAGGATAGAAGCTACTTCTTATGTGGGAGAACACTTAAAGCATTCTTTTAAAATTATGGACTAGGCATGATTACAAATATGTATTTGTTGAGAATTCGTTGTAGTGCTGAGTCTGAGCTGACTTTTACTTCTAGCATTCAACACCCTAAGTGTTAGATTTTCCTACACCTTGACGCTTAGTGGATTTAACATTAGTATACTTCTGCCTTACTCTAAATAAATTCAGTTTTTGAAAATTAGGATTGACATATAAGATAAAAATGAGATTATTATGAGTATGCTTGAATTTTTACTCTTTGTGATAGCTTTTTGTAAATTAGTGAACCTTTATAGAAATATGTTCTATGCACAAAATTTTACATACACTTCTATTATACTACATCAAATGTATCTGTACTAGCTTCAAAAAAAGTTGAATGAAAAGCCAAGTTTACTGCAAAATAACAGTGATTCCAAAACCATATAGTAATAAACTGGAATACTGATTTGTTTTTTAGATTGTTTTCTAGCCCTAGAATGACTATACTGTATTAGTGTGGTTAAAGTTCCCTGGTTTTGTTAGTGTTCCTCTTTTATACAAACACTAATAGGGATTCAAATTAGCCAGACTGTAAGGAAAGTGGCATTTGTAAACCTAAAATAGCTACACATTTGCAACTTAAATCTAAGACAACCGGATTATTTTCCTGAATTCATTTCACAGTTAATTCAGTGATATTTAGAACTATATGCTGTACTTGCTCATGAGAATAAAAGGATGAATAGATAAGAGATACTCTCTGTCTTTCAGAAGTTTATAATTTGAAGGGAGCTCATAGTGTAGTGAATAGAATAATTATTTCAGTTAATCTGTTATGAACTGGCATTTCAGAACAGGGATTTTTCCATAGTAAAGAAAATAAGAGAGGATTTAATTACACTTTGAATTTGGTGAAGTAGGGGCTTTATTTTCTCTTTAAGATAAGACTCTATAAGACACCACTACTTTCTTTCTATTTACTATTGTGTATTTGTTTCCCAGCTGCTGAGCAATTATAAAAGAAAATATAGACCTATAAAGCTTACATAATAAAAAAGTTAAAAAAAAAACCACCTGCTTCTGCATGGTTTTGATAATGAAATTCTATAGTAACTTATTTTTAGTTTGAAGTCATGAAATATACTTTTGTGTTTGTCATTTATAATTATGGGGAAAAATCATGTACTAATTATCTTCCTCAAAGCACTTTTTTTTATATTTGATTTAGTCCAAATTTTATACTATCCCTCCTCCCCTTTCATTCTGTATCAGTTGTATTTCTGTATTTTACATATTTGTGTATTTCTGTGTTGTTACATGTTAGGTAGTATTGGGTACATAATCCTAGAAATAAGTTTAAAAATAAAAGCAGTGCAGCGCTTGGTCTGTAGATCATTCCTCTGTGTGCTTCCCCAGTGTAAAACTTTTCCTGTTGTCTTTGGAAGATTATTTCAGCCTGAAAACACTTGGTTTTGTGGAGTGCATTTTAATTGAAGCCTTTGCTAAAGTATTACCCATTTTCTATTGGCATACCAGTTGCCAAACTTTGTTTCCAGTGAAGTCACTTTTAAGAACAAAAACAACTTCTGCAAAGTTTTACTGATGATTCTATGTACCTTAATATTAAGATTGTACTATAGTAGCAATATTATTATGCCATAGAAATCACAAGACAAATTCTAAGTAAGTTAGAAAACTACTATGAATATATTCTTTTATTAAGATGAATAGGTTTGGCCGGCGCCACGGCTCACTAGGCTAATCCTCGGCCTTGCGGCGCCGGCACACCGGGTTCTAGTCCCAGTCGGGGCGCCGGAATTCTGTCCCGGTTGCCCCTTTTCCAGACCAGCTCTCTGCTGTGGCCAGGGAGTACAGTGGAGGATGGCCCAAGTGCTTGGGAGACCAGGAGAAGTACCTGGCTCCTGCCATCGGAACAGCGCGGTGCTCTGGCCTCAGCTGCCGGCCGTGGCGGCCATTGGAGGGTAAACCAACGGCAAAAGGAAGACCTTTCTCTCTGTCTCTCTCTGTCAACTCTGCCTGTCCAAAAAAAAAAAAAAAAAAAAGATGAATAGGTTTATTGTGAAGAATAAATGTGTGTATGTGTGCATTTATACATGCTTCTGAGTATATATACATGTATATAAATCTATATCTTCTCTTTTTAATCTCTCAGTTAACTGAACTAAAGGCTGATTTTCAATACCAAGAATCAAACTTGAGAACAAAGATGAACAGCATGGAAAAAGCTCACAAAGAAACTGTGGAGCAACTTCAGGTAAATGATGCTATTTAAAATGTAAATGTTAGGCAAGCAGGACTAAGGTGATAGCATTCAATGACTTGGATTGCTATTGGTATCCATATATTGTCCATATTTGGTTCATTTTCAGTTTTGATTTTGACTTTGTAATATATTATAATCATGTCCCATTAAAAGTTTTTGTTTAAAAACACTTGAAAGGTGATTCAGTACATTAATCCTGAAAAGTGTTTCCTAAATTTTAAATGAACTTTTCAGAGGAGGATATCATTGGCGTGTGTTCAATTGATTGTTGAACTAAAAAGAAAATAAAATCGGATTCATGAAACTAAGGTGAAAGCAACATCTTTCATAGCAATTGCTCTTCTGTTTCTGTCCAGATAATGGGAAAGTAGGTGAGCAAATAAAACCAATTGTTAGCGATCCTGAGCAGGGGACATTTTATTATGCGTATAATTATGTGATCTAACCTGTGAACTGTGGGTTTATAAAGTGCTGAATAGGGCTCTGCTGTACAGCAATAGCTCATCATCTACCTCAATCTCAGGATTATGCAAAATATATTAAGCAGCATTTACATATATATAATATGGAATGGGAAAGTTGAGTGTCACCACAGAAACACCTTATGTCTGCAGAGACATTAACATGGATACAAATTATTAAAGTTTATTCTCACCTAAGTTTCACAGATTTAAGTTAATGTTCTTTGCTCTGATTTACAAATTGTGATATTTGTAGAATTCTTGAGTAACAGTTTTTAAGGTTAACAAGTTTTAAATTTTAAAAGTGTGAAGATGTGGCACATAGACTTTGGACTGATACGAGAGTACAGCTTCAGACAGAAGCAAGGAATTAATACTGTCTTGTTTTATTTTCTAACATAACCTCAAGGGGTATTTTGTTCTTACTGCATTTGTGTTTGTCATGCTTCTTTGCAATTAGCTTAGATTGAGGAGGATTTAGGAACCTGCTTGAATTTGAGATACTCATACAAATTGCCTGATCTTAACTTAGAATTTTACTATTACAAAGAATTTTAAGAGGAACCTCACATAGATAGAACCTGGGACACAGCAGGCATTCAAATAATTTATTGAGTGAGCAGTGATTTATGGAAATACCCATTGCCTTCTGAGCTAGGAGATTATGCATATCATATATCAGGCTTGTATGCTAGTACTATTTATAAAAAATTATTTGAGCGGTACAGAGAGAGGTTTCATTTGCTGGTTCACCCCACAAATGCCCACAGTGATTGATGGCACTGTGGAAGCCAGGAGCTCAATCCAGTCCTTTCCCATGTCAGGTAGCAGAAACCCAGTTAATTGAACCTTCACTACTGCCTCTCAGAGTCTGTATCAGCAGGAAGCTAGAGGAAGGAGGTTGACTTGAGCATTGGATCCAGGAACAGCAATATTGGATGCCAGCATCTTTTTTTCCTTCTTTATAAAGATTTATTTATTTATTTGAAACTCAGGGATGGGGTGGGGGGCAGATCTTCATCTGCTGATTCACTCCCCAAATGGCTGCAATGGTCAGAGTTGGGCCAGGCCAAAGCCAGGAGCTTCATCCAGGTCTCCCATGCAGGTGACAGAGGCCCAGCAGTTGGGCCATCTTTGGTTGTTCTTCCCATGCCATTAGCAGGGAGCTAGATCGGAAGTAGAACAGCTGGAACAAGAAATGGTACATATATGAAATGCCGGTGTTGCCGGCAAAAACTTTACCCACTACAACACAACCCTGGCCCCAGATGCCAACACCTTTACCTCTAGGCTAAACACCCGTCCCCTTACTCAGTTTTTAATGCTGAGTGAATACTTGGAACAAAATCTTCCCCTGATGGTCTGTAACTTAATGATGTAACCAAAGCTTGATTTAACATAGAATTTCCACTGTTCAAAAGAGCACCTTGTTTATTGAAATTGGACATTTTCAACATAACTTTGTGCTTTCTTGCTACTTAAATTAACCCTGGCTTATATATTAGGCTCATTTTATAGATAAAGCTGGTGACACAATTAATAAGTAGTTACATAGAAACTTACATCATTTGATTCAGGTTTTGCCATACCTTCACCTGTGCTGGCTTCCACCAGCCCAGGTTATCCAGGTTCTCTGTTTCATCTTTGTTGCCATACCACTTTTGTGTTGCTGCTAGACACAGTCTGTCAGTCTCCCTTTAGCACTAGCATGCTAGTAGTGGTCTCTACTGAGATGAACAAACAGTTAATTCTTTTTCTTTCTGTAATAAGGAATTGAACCATTTATCACAAAATTTATCTTGCTGTAAAAGCTATGAAATACTTTTTAACTCTCAGACCTGGGAATAAACACTGAATATCACAAGAAAAATTATCTGTAATACTCTCCTAAACACCCCAAACACTAATACCAAATTAAAAAAAAAAAAAATCTGCCATTCATTTCATAGGTAAGTAAAAGGGGGAAAGGAACTATTTGCGTGCTTACTGTGTTTCAGTAACTGTTAGGCGAATTGTTTTCTATGTTTGATTAGTTCTTTCAACTCATTTTGAGGTGGGTGGTGGAGTTTGTTTTAGAAATGAGAAGGTATGCTATGAGTTATAAGCAGGTAAGTGGCAGATCCAGGATTTGAAACAGGATCTGTGTAATTCCTAATCCAGATATTCTTCCCTTTAGGCCAGTATTTCTAAACATTTTTAACTTAAGTATTTAAATAAATTCATTGACTTTTATAGGATAGATAATAAAGAAGTAATTTAGGATAAAAAAAATTAATGTATTTAAATATCACATTATATAAAAATTCATTTTAAGGTGCGTCAGTTAGAATAAAACAAACTTGGGCTTGTGTCCCATTAACAACTAATGCATTGTTTATCTTAAAGACTTGTATAATTTATCATAAATTCATTAATGATGTAATCAGTTGCATAAATACGAAATACAGATTGAAAATTAGCTGCTAAAGTATTAGAAACTTTTTTAAAGGTGAAATGTTTGAGTTCTTGTGTTTCATACTTAAAATATGGACACTGTTAACTAAGGAAATTTTGGAGACTGTTTTAATCATTAGGTATATCAGGATAAACATTTTCATGTAAATATACATACAGATCTGATGGAACTTTCTTTGAGTCAAATTTGCAGACAAAGTCTCTTTTATGCTTCTTTGTTTTAAAACTTTCTTAAATTTCCTGTTTATATCCAATGGATCTGTCACATTATAAATTAAATGGTATTTAGCTAACAAAAAGTTTGAGACAACATTGATTAGGAGTGGCAACTTGGTGATAAAGCAATTGATTGTGAGTGTCCTACTTGAGTTCCTTTTACTGCCAAGCATTTTCATTTGATTTCTGCTCACAGATTTTTTAGAATGTTTGACCTTAAAGGGAAAATTTTAAATCTTTTGCTCCTTATGATTTATATACATTTGAAATTGATACTGAATTTGTATTTGAAACTTTGTGTTACCACCTTAGATATTTAATAACCATTAAAGAGAGAAACCCTATTACCATGCAGCTGGACAAAAAAAGTTTGATTTATCCATGTAAGATAGCACTGAAAAAATTTTCATTTTGGAGTTTATGTGTGTTAATTGAGAAGAATTTCATAGGAGGAGGGTGGAGAAGTGGAAATACAAAGCCTTGGAAATGTTAATATTTCATAAACCACTTCAGGGTAGCATACAGAGAAGGCAAGATACTATCAGGCCATACCGAAACTAAAATTAGAGTATAAAATAAAGCACTGAGTTTAAAAAAAAGTCTGTATAGATAACAGAAAATCTTAATATGTGTATGAAAATGGTTTTCAAACCTAAGCCCTAAAATAGCTTTGGATTTTTATTTTAAGACAATACTGAGTTCCAAACAATTTTCATCACTCCCCATTTTGACTCAGACTTCAACAGTGATTGATCAATGATACACTTGTATATACAGAGAATCTTTATTATCTGAATTTCTATGGTTAATAAACTATATGGGGTGGGTGGCAAAGGTAGTCAAATTTGAACATAGGACTGGCATTGCCTCGTAGCAAATTAGGCCTCTCTATCTATGATGCCAGCATCCCACATGGGTGCTGGCTCCAGACCCGGCTGTTCTACTTCCGAACCAGCTCCCTGCTCATGCGACTGGCAGGGCAATGGAAAATAGCCCAAATCCTTGGGCCCTCTGCACTCAACGTGGGAGACCTGGAAGAAGCTCCTGGCTTTGGCCTGACCCAACCTCAACTGTTGTAGCCATGAGAAAGCTAATTGGCGGGTGGCAGATTCATATTCATTGATTCATTTTCTTTCTCTTTCCCCCTCTCTCCCCTTCTCTCCCCCTCTCTCCCCCTCTCTCCCCCTCTCTCCCTCTCTCTCCCCCTCTCTCCCTCTCTCTCCCTCTCTCTCCCTCTTTCCCTCTCTCCCTCTCTCCCTCTCTCTATCCCTCTCCCCCTCTCTCCCCTTCTCTCCCCTTCTGCTCCATCTGCTCCATCCTCCTCTCCATAACTCTGCCTTTCAGATAAATAAAAAATGAATCTTAAAAAAAATGAAAACTTTAACTGAAGGTTCCTGCATACATATTTCCTCAGTAAACGTCAGGTCCTCATGGCACATATGACTAAAGGACAAGATTAGTAATGGGTGGGATATTTAATAATGAAGTACAGATTCAGTTCAGATATTGTCAAAGTAAAATTTTAAATCTGCAAAAAAAATCAAGTTTTCATAAAATTAAAATAACTATATGAAACTGCTCAGATCACACCAAAGCCAGTGCCAGAAGACTTTATAATATAATCATTTGAAAGATCAAAAATAAGCTCAGAACAGGTGGTTCTAATGGGTGCTTAAAAAAAATTAAGAGTGCTGTTGACAAGGTAATGAAATTTTTTTGCAGAGGTAACCTTTTAAAAGAGCACATGCTGGGAAATATTCCTCCCATATCACCATTTAAGTGGATTCACTTTATTGACTTCTTTTGTAACTATTGTACCTTTGATTAACAGTTTTTAATGCTAATATTTAAAAAGTTGGCTAATAATCTTGAATTTTCTTCCTGTATATCCAGTTTAGATGAACCTAATATACTGATTCTTTCATTAAAGCTGTTAGTGGTTCAGTGAAATCTTTGGTTTTATAGACAAAAAAGGATGCTAATTAAGTGGTAATTCAGCATGACTCAATATTTCAAACTTTTAAAATCTTGAATGTTTTTGTCTCTCACAGGCCAAAAACAGAGAACTACTCAAACAGGTTGCAGCACTGTCAAAGGGTAAAAAATTTGACAAAAGTGGAAGCATACTAACATCTCCTTGAGAAAGTAGTTTGTTTAGTGTTGTTTCTGCTTATAATGTAAATTTGAAAAAAAAATTCTGTGAAGCCCTTAAATTGTGTGTAGTAGAAAAATATTTTTGCACACCAAATGAATTGGTGTGTTTCCTGTTCACTTTTGTAAGGGAACTACAGCATTTTTTAAGTTGTAAAACATTCAAATAAAACTTCAACTGGTTTGAAGTAACTTTTTAATTTTTTGATATCCAGGAAATTTTTTTGCCAGCAATAGTATTAAATAGTTATAAAGGGGTGCATGAGTAGTGCTCTTTATAAAAACAACATGCAATAATAGAGTAAGTATGATTTTAAGATGTCAAAGCAGCAGGGTTTGTTTTTTATTTTTTTCTTTCTGTTTAACACTATGCTGACTTCAGAAAAACAGTTTTCAATATATAAATAAACTTTTAAACAATGGAAATGGTAAACACTGGTTTTCAATAATTGTGTTTTTACTTTGCATCAGTATGAAAATTTAGGAGAAAATCATGGTGCTTTTATTAAATAACTTCAGAGTATATGTAAATATGTTTTTAAAAGTTATTAACATTAGTAACCTAGCATTTTCATTATTGATATAGGAATCAATGTTTAATGTACAGTATCCAGGTACAAATGTGTTTTTGTTTTGTAAAAACTACTGTAGATTTTTACTTACAAGTGCCTTTTTGCCACCTAATGTTTTTATTTATAGGAATGCTGATCTTTTGTACATAGTTTGTTTTAAAATCATGTTTAATAAATGTTTGTATATAAATGCATATATACAGAAGCCTATTTCAAAAATGAATCAAAGTTGCTAGTAATGTGTTTGAGGTTGCATTAAGAACTAACTGATAATGCGTATAGGTTTTAGGTGATTTTGTGGTTTGTTTCTGTGTGAGAAAGGAAGCTCTTGGCCATTAAATTCATTTAATGATGTCAATACTTCCTCCATAGAGAATACTCTGTTCTGATAGAGTAATTTTATTTTTTATGTTACAGCTTCATGTTCATATTTTTATGAGCTACATGTTTTTACTTTATTTTTTTATAAAATTGATGTGTTTCTACAATGGTCCATATATCTGCTTTTCCTATGTGTGTGATTGTCTAAGTTAATATTTATGTACACCATACTTAATTTGTAAATTTAATGCAAATCTGGGAAAAACTATAATTTCTGATTATCTTTCGATAAATTAAGATAAATTAAGATAAATTAAGATTCTGGCACTATTTAAATTGTCTCAAAGTCTTTAAAATTTTCTCTAAAGATAGTATGGGATAGATTATATGAAGTTACTGACTGACTCTGATCTGATCCAGTGGTTTTCTACCTATAATGGAAATGTTCTGCTTAGTTTTAGTTCAGACATTTTTAAAAATAGTGTAAAGAGTGAAAGGGTTCCTTCTCTTTGGAACTTATGGGCAAAGATAATTTGTTTCAACTAAGCTGTTATTAAGTTGATCACTTTTATTTTTAGATAAGCATTGATTATGACTGTTATTAAAGATTGGTTTTCTTACAAACACATGATGATTGTAACAGTTTTTTTTTTTTTAATATGACCGGTGTTTCCATAGATGTTCCTATAGTTGTTCATTATAAAGTGCTACCAAATAATTCTTTGTCCAAATTGGAAACATATCTAGAGCAATTTTTAAGTGATAGTAAAAGATTGAATTGGTCAGATTTTGAAAAATCAAGCCACTTTGTTTTTATAAAATCTTCATGAAACAATCTTCTTAAATTGATTACTTTCAACCATGGTAGATAATGCCTTAACATGGATTTTAATGCAGGATTTGCTAAATTCATAAGATAATCATTACCTTTCTTTAAAATTTCTGATGTTTTATATTCTGGTTTCATAACCATTTGTCAATTCACAGAGTAGTTATTATGGTTTTAAAATAAACTGTGTAATAGTTGTTATACATTGTTGGGGATGCTAGAAGAGAAAGGTGTGCTTCCGCATCCCCACCCCCATGACACACACTTTAAGCTGTCATTAAAATTGAAAAACAATCTATAGAATTGAATTTTGTAAATTCCAAAGCTAAAACCTTTAGGGGCTTCACAGTATTTAGTCCTAATTAAGTACCCTCTCCTTAATCTATGATCTTATTTGATAACTTAAATTTTTTTTTTCCAATTGTATTAACTAGTAATTGAGTCCCAGTCCTGGATCTGTTGTGTATTGACATATGAGCTGATAACCTTTAAATGTGGACCTGTAAGGAGATAACTATGGTGTGCTGTATCGTGCTTTTAGCCTGTTTTCCACAATTAATTAGCATTTAACGGTGAGGGTCATTTAGGCTCAAGTTATTTATCTATTAATAGCCTGTGAATATTGCAGTCCTTTTTAGATTGTATTGGTCTAAATATGCATTCTACAGTGAACCTGTTAAACTGTTCACATGTATAGACTATGAAATACTGTACTTGTACACATCTGACTGTTGACATTTTGTACTTTTTTCTAAATACAATATTTCACAATAAAATTTTTGTCAAAAGCTTTGTATTAGATTCCTATTGCCATAACCCATTGCCACGAGCTTAGTGACTTAAAAACAACAAAAGTTAATTCTTTTTCAGTTCTGGAGGTCAGAAATAGAAACTGTTCCACTGGGTCAGGGTGTTGACAGGGCTGGTTCCTTTTGGAGGCTGTATGGGAGAATCTGTTTCCTTACCTTCTCCAGCTTCTAGAGGGTTACTGCTTGTACCTATGAACTCACTGAGGCTTGCACTGTCTTCAAAGCTAGGAGAGGAAAGTAGCATCTTCACATCTCTGTCTGCTTCTGTTTTCTTCTGGCTTCTCCTTGGTGGTCATATTTCCTATTCATAAGACTCTTATGAGGCCATGATGAGGGCCACTTGGGTGAATAAGATAATTTCTCCAAATTCTTAAAGTAGTCAAATTGGCGAAGTCCCTTTTGTCATATAAGGTAACATTTTCATGGGTTACAAGGATAGGGCATGGACATCTTGGGGAAAATATTTATTGAGTCCACCACAAACTTCATCTACCTTTTCTTCTCTTTCCCCAGTATGAAATCCTAAAACATGGATGGAGAGAAGTAACTCAGGCCAAACAGTAGAAACTCTGTTCATTCAGACCATTTTAGTGCAAAGATGTAAGTCTATCTACTTCAGCTATTATCTCAAAGCAAAAGTTGGGCAAATCAAGCATTATAAAAGTTAAGTTTGGAGAACGTATATAGTATGGTTCTTTAAGGACTTTATAGACTAGGTGGGAAGACAATGTACATGGTGAGAAATCTCAACACTTTCATATTATAAAGTGTAATAAAAAGCTAATAGCTTTAAGCAAGGACAATGTTAAGAATTGTGGCAACAGTCATAAGTCATTAGTTTGTCAGATTTTACCATGTATCAATTTTCTAGCAGGATTGTTTGCCTTGTGTTGCCCCATTTTTGATTCAATACATTTGGAGTAGAGCCCAAGAATTTCATTTCTAAGTTCTTAGATAATGCTCATGCTTCTAGCATACCTTGCGAATCAGTGCTTTAAGAAAAAACAAGAGGGAAAAAGAATAGCTTGAGGAATAATGGCTGGCTGACATTTTGGAAAAAGTACAGGTGTGAACTTAAAAGGTAATTTGGAGTCCCATTTTAATGGCAGTTTGGGCAGGCACCTCTAGATTTTTGAAAAGGAAGTGATGTAGACCAAGTGACTATAGTTTGGCACTGTAGGAAGCATTTTCTCCAATTCTTGTAGCCAAGGAAACAGCAGAAGCCAAATGGTTTGTTTAAGAGTCTTGCAGTCAGTTTGCATCACCAGTGGTAATCAGTTTTGAGGAGGTATGCATATAGTCACATCAGGCATACTTAAGAGGTTGAGGATAATTAGAATCGTTATTTGGAAATGACAGACTTAAGGGTAGGGAAAATTCTCAACCATAACTTGAGAAACAAGGTGCAGAATTTGTTCTTTAATTGACAGGGAGCTGCCCAATGTTTTCCTCATACAAAATGCTGGTGTATCTGCACTTGGAATATTTAGCACTAGTCACCCTTTCTCAAGAAAAATATTCAAGAAGTTCTGTGATTAGAAAGGATTGGAGACTGAATTTTGACTAAAAAAGTAAGACTGGTTTCCAAAATAGAAAAGAAAAGGGCCAACAACCCTATAGAAAATTGGCCCATCTAGGTGAATGAAGATAGTTCATAGGAAGAATGCAAATAATTCTTAACCTCATGAAGTGACAACCTCATAATAAGGAAAATGAAAAAAGTATTGGAGTTAACCATTTCTTGTTTACAAACCAGAAAAATACCACACACTTTGTTGACAAGGTGGGAAAACATAATCTCAGGTATTCCTGATGGTCATTGCAAAATTGTCCCACTAAAGGTAAGTTTTGTTAATAGCTAGCAGAATTATGAATGCATTTATGCTTTGACCCTAGCAATCCAGTTCTAGGAATCTGCCCTAAATATAACACTTACAAAAAATTTTAAGATGTTTGCATAAAGCTTTGGCAAAATTATTTCTAATAGTAAAAATCAGCTAACAGTCAAAATCAAGACTTTGGTAAATAATGATGGTATATTCACCAGGGTAGGACTACATATACATGTTCTGCCTTTTTTTTTTTTTTCTTTTTATTTTGAAAGAGTTAAGACAGTGAGAGAGAGACAGAGAGAAAGGTCTTGGTCTGTTGGTTCATCCCTCAAATGGCTGCTACAGCTGGCACACTGCGCCGATGCAAAACCAGGAGCCAGGTGCTTCCTCCTGGTCTCCCAAGCGGGTGCAGGGCCCAAGCACTTGGGCCACAGCAGAGAGCTGGACTGGAAGAGGAGCAACCAGGACAGAACCGGCACCCGACCCGGGACTAGAACCCAGGGTGCCGGTGCCGCAGGCGGAGGATTAGTCTAGTGAGCCGTGGCGCTGGCTTTCTGCCTATTTTTTTAAAAATTGAAGGTTTAACCATAATTTTTTTAAAAGATTATTTGAGAGGCAGAATTACAGATAGAAGAGACAGAACGATCTTCAATTTCCTGGTTCACTCCCCAAATGGCCACAATGAGCTGGGCTGATCAGAAGCCAGGAGCTTCTTCCAGATTTCCCACATTGGGTGCAAGGGGCCCAAGCACTTGGGCCATCCTCTGCTGCTTTCCCAGGCCGTAAGCAGAGAACTGGATCAGAAGAGGAGCAGCCAGGACACGAACTGATGCCTCAGGTGGAGGTTTAGCCTACCTACACCACAGTGCTGGCCTCTAACAATTTTAAATGTGGTTGCTACTGAGGAAGAATGAGAGGAAATAGATTAAAGGAAACAGTGTTAGAAACTAGACTTTGAATAAATCATGCTTGTTGATTGACTTTGGGGGTCTTAATAAGTTTCTTTTACAAAACTGTAAAACCACCTCTGAAAAAATAAATTTACTTAAATGTGTAACCAGTTGGTGCCATAACCATTAGAGAAGAACTAAGGTAAAGTGCATTAATTTGTACCTCCCTATGGGCTGTGCTGTAGGGAAAAAGCAAATTGCAAAAAAAATTGTAAACTGTTAACTAATCTTGTTGGTGGCAGTGTTGATATTGTTAGTCTAAGATTGTGAGATAAAATATGGGAGAAGTCAATTAAGTATGTGATATTTTAATTCCATTTGTTGCTTAATATTGAGATTCTTGAGACAAAAGGGATAAAAGTTCAAGTCTGGTCTTATTTAGAATTATAAACCCAGGGTAATTTATTTAAGAAAAAGTTAGACATATTCAGAAAATGTATAAGATAAACCTGCAACATATGAAAAGCACCAAAGCTACCAAGTCCTCTCAAAAGGACTGGTGAGCTAATTGAACATCATCATAGAAAAGAATTGCAATGAATTGAAGTAATGAAAGTGATTTAGTAGTAAATTTAAGATGTTACTGTGTAAAGAGATGAACAGATCATACAAAATCAAAGTGCTAATTGGTCACCACTGGAGGATGCTAGTGAACTACCTCATTATTTTAAAAACATGAATAAAAAGTATTTCTTGTGAAAACTTTAGAACTATACCACTGGGTAATTAAGTAGTAAATGAGGTGTTTCTTTTTAAAACAGCATTTCACTTAGAAAAAAAGAATGACAAAATTACAATGCATTATTTTGCAATTTCTAATGGAGATAAGTATTGGCCAATAAACAGCTACTAAAAGTACATGAAGAGACTTTTTAAAGATTATTTGAAAGAGCTGCAAAAGAGAGAGGGAGAGACAGAGCAAGATCTTCCATCTATCTGCGCCTCACTCCCCAGATGATCCAACCAGGCCGAAGCCAGGAATCGGGAGTTTCTTCCAGGTCTCCCATGTGGTTGTGGGGGCCCCTGCTTTTCCCAGGCTATTAGAAGAGAGTTGGTTCAGAAGTGGAGCAGCTCAGACCTATAAGGGATGCTGGTGTCGCAGGTAGTGGCTTTATCTGCTAGGCCACAATGTTGGCCTGTATGAGGAGGCATTCTTAATCAAGTGCTTTCTGGTGGGGGAATACACTGCTACCTATGAAGTAGTTTTGCCAAGAAGAGTCAAACTTTTATCTGGTCAAACATCCAATCATTAACAGGAAGTAGAGACGACTGAAGATCATGGAGATCAACAGCAAAAGGATACAGTTGCTTAAATCAAACTCAAAAATCTGTCAAGGTAACAGCTCAGCTGCTTCAGGAAGTTGTAAGGGGGGAATAAAAGGAATGTGGAGAGAATCTAGAATAAGAGATATTTAAGGACTAACTGATCACAATGTGTAGAATTGGTTTGGAACTTAAACTGTAAACATTTTTTAGCTGGAAATTGGAACACAGGTTCTGCAGTGATATTAAGGAATTACTGCAATATTGTCAGATATGATAATAGTTTTGTGGCTATATTTAATATTTTAAGGGTCCTTTTATAGACACCAAGATATAATGAGATTGTATGGTTTAATATTACAGGAGGAGATAAATGTGAATATAAATGAAACAGGAATGTGAGCTGTTAATTTTGAAAGTGAGTGGTGTGATTCACTGTCCTATGCCATACTATACTGTGTTTGTGTGAGTTTCAGGTTTTTTGTGATGAAAAGTAATCCCACCATCACCATTGAGAAACTACCCTCACTCTAAACAGTACATATTCACTGACAAAAATATGGAAAGTATGGGGGAAAAAAGAAGTAAGAAAAAAAGGCCACTTAGATTGCTTCTACCTAGGGATATTCATGTTTCTGTTTTTTTTTTTTTTTAATTTTTCTTTCAACATTATCTTTGAGAAACATTTATTATCCTGCCACAATGTAATTTTGTTTCCTGTTTCCGTGTTTTCTCTCTCTTACTGTCCTTCCCAACAAAAGCAATCACTACATTAAAAAACAAAACTATTTGTAATCTTAGCCTAATATTTACAGCCATTATTTATTTAGCCTACTATTAGCCTAATATTTGCATCTATTATTTTTGGAGTCTCAGTTGCAAATCCAGTTCTACTGTTTGCTAGCTAGAAGTCTTGGTGTGTGTGTGTGTGTGATATATATATATATATATATATATATATATTTTTTTTTTTTTTTGACAGGCAGAGTGGACAGTGAGAGAGAGACAGAGAAAGGTCTTCCTTTGCCCTTGGTTCACCCTCCAATGGCCGCTGCGGCCGGCGCACTGCGCTGATCCGATGGCAGGAGCCAGGTACTTATCCTGGTCTCCCATGGGGTGCAGGGCTCAAGTACTTGGGCCACCCTCCACTGCACTCCCTGGCCACAGCAGAGAGCTGGCCTGGAAGAGGGGCAACCGGGACAGAATCCGGCGCCCCGACCGGGACTAGAACCCGGTGTGGGGGCACCGCAAGGCGGAGGATTAGCCTAGTGAGCCGTGGTGCCAGCCTTTGGGGTATACTTTTTTAATGTTTTAGTTTTGGTTTCTTCATTGGTGTAATTTATAGAGTTGCTTATAAGCATTACTTCAGGTAAACTATTAAATACAAAGCACTTTACATAATCTAATGCGCAGATTTATAGTAAGGTAATGTTTTATTTAATAATAAAAAATGTAAAGGTTATGTGTGGGCTGTGTCTTTCCCCCCTTGCAAGTATGGCTCTTGATGCATTTGATGTCCATAGAATATTAGGATTGGTTATTGTAGTTTTCAACCATGGGACCAATTTTGTTTTTATTATTATTACTACTTATTATTCTTGGGGTCAGTATCTACTGGAATATCAGGAACTCATATAGGCTGAGCAATTCAGGTTTTGTTGGAATCCCAATACATGAAACAAATAAAACCTGACATATGTTGAAGTTAAGGCAAGTATGAGTTATCTCCTGTGTCAATTTAAATAGCATCTGGCTGGAGAATCAAAGTTGGAATTTATTCAGCAAGTCTTAAATGAAGATTTAAACCCAGAAGCATTATGAGTTGACTGTTTTGTAAGCCTTGCTTGGTTTCAGGTTTTAAGCTTTTTCTCATGGGGTGAGTAATGCATTCAATCAGGTTTAAATAAGACAGATTTATGTGTGGTTGTCAATCATGAAAAATCAAAGGAGACCTGGTGATACAGACTTGGTTATTTAAGGGGATTCCCACCTTAACACCCTTTCCCCCCATATCTACACTGTGTTATTGGTATATAGAGAGAGCTAAACCAGAGTTCTTAATCATTTAGACAACGGATTCCTTAGTCATTTTTGCTATAGTGGCCCTAAGATGTAAAACTTGCTCCCTCTTAAGGTACAGCAGATATTTCTGGATCTCAGCATTTGTTGAAAAGGCAGAATGTGTGAAACTGACTGCAGTGTGTCTTCACAGTCCAGGTAGGGTCCCAGATGTTTTAGGCCCCCATAGTCACCATTGCCACTCTTAAGTCTGCACTTGTTGGTTGGTTGGTTGGTTGGTTGATTTGAAAGGCAGAGAGAAAGAGAAGGAGAGAATTGTCTTTTACCCACTGGTTCACTCCCCAAATGCTCACAGTAGCTTGCCAGCCTGTAGCCAGTAGCCTGAAACTCACTTTGGGTCCACAAGATGGATGTCAGGGATTTACATACCTGAGTCATTATTACCTGCTGGTCCCGGGGTGAGCATTAATAGGAAGCTGGATTGGAATAGAGCAGAGACTCCAGCTGAGGGATTCTGCCATGGGATTTGAACATTCTAGTTGGATGTCTTAACTGCTGTGCCAAATACCCCAACCACCCCAAGACCACACTTTCTTTTTTTTTAAGATTGATTTTATTTATTTGAACGACAGAGTTACAGAGAGGTAGAGACAGAGAGAGGTCTTCTATCTGCTGGTTTACTCCCTAAATGACTGCAATGGTTGGAGTTGAGCTGATCCAAATCCAGGAGCCAGTAGCTTCTTCTGTGTCTCCCACATGGGTACATTCAGACCTTATCACCTATTCTAATCAAAACACTAAAATGGTTTTACATTTCAGCTCTTACAGAGACCTAAAAGACCTTGAATTTAAGGCAGGATTTCATACTGAATTGTAGCTTATCTGACCCATTAGTGAAGCAGCTAATCTTTCTTCTCTAATTCTGTAAATCCTAAATTCTAAGATTTCATCCTTTTTCTTAAAATTCCTACTTCATTCCACTAGGGGGAGAGTTTCACTACTAAATAATCTCAGGAAGCATTTTCATTTTTTGTGCAGTGTTAGACGGTTTTGTTACATATGGTAACCCCTTTTCAGAAGCAGTTGATTTTTACAGTTCCAGTGTATACCTTTTTTTTCTAATTCAGTTGAGGGATTAGCTCAAAAAAGTGAATTTTAAAATGTAATTTTGTGTTTGGATGGATTGTTTTTTAATTCTGAAGTCTATTTTACAAAGAATTGCCTTAAAATTGTATTCAATTTGTGTACACACTTCTTTCCTTCTAAAGCTACTCCTACTGATGCACTGGTACATTTATTTGCCCCTCCTTCATTTACCAGGAAGGGAGCTCCTGCACTCCATCTACTATGGGTTAGGAGATTTATAATCTTAAGTCAGAAGCCCACTGTCTCCAACTAAGTCATTGTCTACTAGAGAGACTTGACATGGACACTACATTATGGACCTTTTCTTTTTTTTTTTTTTTTTTTTTTATTTTTTTGACAGGCAGAGTGGACAGTGAGAGAGAGAGACAGAGAGAAAGGTCTTCCTTTGCCGTTGGTTCACCCTCCAATGGCCGCCGCGGCCGGCGCGCTGCGGCCGGCGCACCGCGCTGATCCGATGGCAGGAGCCAGGAGTCAGGTGCTTTTCCTGGTCTCCCATGGGGTGCAGGGCCCAAGCACCTGGGCCATCCTCCACTGCACTCCCTGGCCACAGCAGAGGGCTGGCCTGGAAGAGGGGCAACCGGGACAGAATCCGGCGCCCCGACCGGGACTAGAACCCGGTGTGCCGGCGCCGCTAGGCGGAGGATTAGCCTAGTGAGCCGCGGCGCCGGCCCGGACCTTTTCTATGTCGATGCACCTTGGAGGCTTGGAGTTGTACAGCACACCACGTGTTCTGCCATACATAATGACCTAGGTTAGGAGGAACCACAGGGGCTGGAAGTGGTGTGGTTGGAATCAAGGCATTGCATGTATTGGGTGCTGCCTAAATGATCATTTCTTTCTATATTTTCCTCACTTTTGCACAATTCTTATGACATGGATTTTCCTTTAAGGGGATTATTAGGTCTCCCCTACTTACTATTCTTGGGGCAGTATCTACTGGAATATCAGGAACTCATATAGGCTGAGCAACTCAGCTTTTGTTGGGAACCTCTTTGTATATTTTTAGTACAGCTAGAAAAATTGTTTTTCTCTTACCCATGTGCCGGGCAACCAAACTGCTTCTAGCCAGGAAAAAGTCTGTGAATTTTCTTTGTTGGATTCATAGAGAAACTTTTTTTTTTTTTTTTTTTTTTTGAGTGAATGGCTGATACTATTGAGGCACTGGGTCAAATAGTTTACATGCATTAACATTCTAAATAGTAAACCTGGAATGTTGCACCTTATTCAGTGTACATGTCAAAAATTTCCTGAATAGTAATGAATGAAACTTGAAATAGTTATGGGAGGAATGGTGTGAGGCAGTAACCCAAGAAACCTAGGAAGCAGCTGAAGGAAAGGTGGGATATTTGGAAAAGTGGAGCTCAAATACAAATGAATAAACCTCAGAAGTCAACATAATTACTACATCCCACTTTTATTTGTGTTGAAATGACTTTCTGCAAGTCTGAGATTGTGACATAACCATCGTTCAGCTGGGTACTTTTTATAGTCAAAACTAATGGTAAATATATAAATATATAGTATGCAGTAGTAGTACGTGTCATAGATAATTAAATCTGCATTATTATTTGCATCATTGTTCTATAGTATATATTTTATCAACATAAGCTGATGGTTTTTAAATGCCCTCAATAATTCAGGCACTTCTAGATATCGTTTCTAAGTACCTCTCGAGGAATGCAAATCACCTTGTAAGTTTCTGCAACATAGCATCAGGGAACAAACAAGCCACAAGGCAGGTTTCTGATGTCATCAATTGCCTGCTTCTGTGGTTACCAGCATGGCCCACAATTCCTGATCATCTGCTGTCAGTGAGGTGATCGTCTTCCTAGCCTATAAATATCTGAGTAGGTGTATAGAATAGAGGGAAAAAAGGACTTTTGTCGATATTTAGTCTTTCCTTTGGGTAAAGACACAATTCTTAAACTCCTCACCAACATCCAGGACCTAAAATGGTGGACAGTGGTGCCTAGAAGATTATTTGGAGAGCGCCACATTGTAAATTCTTCCACTTCACCCAATAATATAGATTGAGGGTTTTTCTTCCAACAGAAGAGAAGATCTTCCTTGTATTAGGATAACATGTCCAACTGCCTTGGAAAATCTAAACCCTGATGGCAAGGGCTGACCAACTTCTCCCATGGCACAAACAAAGGAAATGCTGTTGCATCAAGATTGTCTTCCATCCTCAGAGATGAATGGGCACAGGGTGTGTGAGTGGTGTTTCCAGTGATAGGAGATGTGATAGTGTCAGCTTAGAGTTGTTGAAGTTTTGCCCAGAAGGATTACTTTGGGTGGGTGAGAGTTGAGCAGTGAGTTAATTCCAGAAGAAAACCTTTATTGAACTGTAAAAAACAAAACAAAACAAACAAAAAAAAAACACCAGCTTTTCAGGGACCAGTGAGTCACAAAAATGTCTTGCCCTTGTTGTGGAAGTACAAAATTCCCAATGGCTTGGAGATGTCGAAAGAACTTGCAAAAGCATCCAAATTTGCCACAGCCAGTCCTCTTAGAAGAGAAGGAATCAACTGCAACATTTACCACATCCATAGGGGAAAGCCATTTTGTAGTAGTACTTTCTTTTAATTCTATCTTTTGTGCACTTTATGAAGTGTGCTGATATTTAAAAATACGCATTTGAGCTTACTTGAATGAGGTAGATAATGGAAAACCTAGAACCCCTGGAGTGAGAAAAATCGATGGTATCATATCTTCATGATAAAGTAGGAAAATATAGGTGTTCTGTAAGCACAGGAAAGGGAAGATAGCCTTTTGTGAAATGAAAAAGTGTGGAACTTTGAAAATATCATGGAAAAGCTGTGCTAAAAACAGCTCGATCAAACAAGTAATAAGAAGATGGAAAAAAGCTATATTTTGAGAGTAACTATGGGAAGAAAAACATGTCAACTAATATGGAGTAGCTGGAGAAAAAGGGAAGGCAAAAACAAGGATTGTGGTATAACAGTCTAGCATGAATATTGTTGCATTTATACATATATACAAAATTAGGTGGATCTATATTTTTGAAAATGGACTAATGTTCAGAGCTTTTTTTAAGATTTATTTATTTTACTTGAAAGTCACAGTTACACAGAGAGAGAGAGAGGTCATCCATCTGCTGGTTCACTCCCCAAATGGCTGCAAGGGCTGGAGCTGTGCCGATCCGAAGTCAGGAGCCAGGAGTTTCTTCCGGGTCTCCCACATGGGTGCAGGGGCCCATGAACTTGGGCCATCTTCTGCTGCTTTCCCAGGCCAAGGCAGAGAGCTGGATAGGAAGTGGAGCAGCTAGGATTCAAATGGGTGCCCATATGGGATGCGGGCACTGCAGGTGGTGGCTTTAGCTGCTATGCCACAGTGCTGGTCCCTGGGGCTTTGTATTTTTAGACAAAATACCTCTGCTTTATGTAAGTAAAGATAATTGTACAATTAAAATAACAATAGTAATAATCATAAATTTCAGCAAGTATATATAATGTGAAAGTAGAATAATAGCTCATGCATTCCTTTTTTTTTTTTTTTTTTGACAGATAGAGTTAATCAGTGAGACAGAGAGAAAGGTCTTCCTTCCGTTGGTTCACCCCCCAAATAGCCACTACGGCTGGAGCTATGCTGATCCACAGCCAGGAGCCAGGTGCTTCCTCCTCGTCTCCCATGCAGGTGCAGGGGCCCAAGCACTTGGGCCATCCTCCACTGCCCTCCCAGGCCACAGCAGAGAGCTGGACTGGAAGAGGAGCAACCGGGACTAGAACCCGGCGCCCATATGGGATGCTGGCACCGCAGGTGGAGGATTAACCAAGTGAGCCACAGCGCCAGTCTCAGCTCATGCATTCTGAATTGCCAGGAAAAGAGTAATTCAGGAGAGTAATTTCTCCTGATCACTAAAGCTTAAAAACTTAAATGATTTTTTGAGGAAAAGTTTCCAAAAAACCATAACATTTTCTGGCATTCTTATCTGGTAACTGCTGGAAAGAATTTATTTTTTCCTTAACTCAAGGACAAACACCAGACATCAGACTTCAGAGAAGGTTGTATACAGAAATCACAAAAGGTGATTGGTATATGTAGAAACTTCTACTTAGATCCTAGTTCAAACTCAGACTCTGCCATTTTCTGGCTGAATTACACTGGGCAAGTTACCTAACCTCTGTGAGCCTCAGTTTTCTCATTGTTAATATGGAGGTAAATGACATGGTTGTGTAGGGAGCTGGCGTTGTGGCATAGTGCAATGCCAGCATCCCTCATTGGTGCTTATTTGAGGCAGCTGCTCTTCTTCTCATCCAGATCCCTGTTAATGGTCTGGAAAAATCAGTGGAAGATGGTCCAAGTGTTGAGTCATGAGAGCCTCGGATGAAGCTTCTGACTGCTGTCTTCAGCCTGGCCCAGTGCTGGCCATTGTGGCCATCTGGGGAGTAAATCAGTGGATGAACGATCTCTCCCTCTCTGTGTGTAACTCTGACTTTCCAAATAAATAAATCCTTAAAAATGAATAAACATGGCTTGTGCCGCAGCTCACTAGGCTACTCCTCTGCCTGCGGTGCCGGCACACCGGGTTCTAGTCCCGGTCGGGGCGCCAGATTCTGTCCTGGTTGCTCCTCTTCCAGGCCAGCTCTCTGCTGTGGCTAGGGAGTGCAGTGGAGGACGGCCCAAGTCCTTGGGCCCTGCACCTGCATGGGAGACCAGGAGAAGCACCTGGCTCCTGGCTTCGGATCAGCGTGGTGCGCCGGCCGCAACGCGCCATTGGGGGATGAACCAACGGAAAAAGGAAGACCTTTCTCTCTGTCTCTGTCTCTCTGTCTCACACTGTCCACTTTGCCTGTCAAAAATAAATAAACAAGGCATGATAATCCCATAGCTTGTACAAGGTAAGTGCTCAGTATATTGGCTGTTGTTATTTCCTGTAAAGACAAATGTATGGCTGAATAGGAAAGGACACTGCTGTAGCTAAAAGTTCTTGATATCATTACTTTTTAATTATTTGTCTCTTTCAAATAAAGAAGAGGGTTATCTTTGAGCTGAGCTTTCACTACACTTGAATCAAACTCTTGTGTTATAGGTAAACAAATGGGAGATGTGGAGCCAAACAAACCTTGGAAAGAATTGCTTTTTTCACATTAGCTTCTTCTTTTTAAAGTGTCATAGTAATACTGCTGTAACTGTCAATCCCCAGGACTGTGAGGATCAAATAAGATCATGTTTATAAAAGTTGCTTTCCTATATTTGCATTTTGAAAACAATTTTGCTGTGCTAATAAGTAGCATGAGTTTTCTGGCCATCAGTACAAGTGTTTTTTCTTTTTGTATTTTTAATATCCAAACCAACCATCCAATAGATATAATTCAGTAAACATGGGAAAATTATCATGGATATGACTGAAACATCCAGACTTGGAAAAATCTGCCATGAGCCAAATTATTTTATGATTATTTTGTTGAGGTCATGGAATCTTGTGGCCCCCTGTAGAGGGGAAAGGATTTCTCTTGCAGGAAATGGAAATTCTAACCATCCATTACCGGGAGATGGTGTCCTAAAGTCTAGGAGAGGGAAGTGTCCTGGGTAAGTTGAGGCTAATCTCAGAGAACAGAGGAGGCCTGGAGCACTGAAAACAAATCACTGCTTTCTCTTAGCAGAGACAGGAGTGGCAGTAATGGCAGGGGGAGCCATGAAGTCCCAGGAGCTGCTGTTTCAGTTCCACTCAATCCAAAGAAATAAGACAGAATCCAACAGATACAAGAAAATACCTCCCGAGAGACAAGATTTCTTGCTAAAGTGATCCAACAGAAGCCAGTGGGGAGATGGTCGTCACTCACACTGGTCAGCCTCCTCATTCCTGTTGCAGATGCCTCATTAGCTCTCACATGTAGGTTTTCATGCTTTGCTCCATGTAAATAAAACATTCAATTAATTTTTTTAAAGGACTTATTTGAAAGAATTACAGAGAGAGAGGAAGAGAAAGAGATATCTGCCATCCAATGGCTCACTCTTTAAATGGTTGTAATGGCCAGGGCTGGGGCAGGCCAAAGCCAGGAGCCAAGAACTTGATCCCAAGTCTCCCACATGGGTGTAGGGACCCCAACACTTTGGCCATCTTCTGCTACTTTTCCCACATCATTAACAAAGACCTGGAGCAGAAGTGGAGTAGCTGGGACACAACATCAGCCCCTCACTTAAATATTTTTAATACTTAGAGAAGAAGTAAGATGCAAACTCATAACAAATATTATTTATTTTTAAAGGTTTATTATTTGAAAGGCAGAGTGACAAATATAGAGAGGCAGATTTTCCATCCACTGGTTTACTCCCAAGTTGGCTGCAACAGCCTGAGCTGGGTTAGGTTGAAGCCAGGAACCAGGAAGGAACCCCATCTCAGTCTCTCCTGTGGGTTAAAGGGTGCCAAGCACTTGGGTCATCTTCTGTTGTCTTCAAAGGTGCATTAGCAGGAAGGTGGATTGGAAGCAAGACTTGAACCAGCACTCTGATATGGATATCATATTGGAAGCAGCAGCTTAACCTGCTGTGCTATGGTGCTGGCCCCTGTATCAAATTTTAACATATGGTAGATTCTATGAATTAGGATTATGACTTCAAGTAATAGAAACCAAGCCTAAATATCTGAAGCAAAAATGGAGACTTATTTGAAGGGCTCAGGACTCAAAGATCGAGGGCATGAATACAACCAGGTCCCAGGAAAGAACCAAAACCTTTCACCAATGGTCAATAGGACTGTTTCTCACCTTTTTTTGTGTGTTTCTTCTCTCTTTTCTTTGAAGATTTGCCTTCTATGCTCCTCAAGTGTTTCGGCTAAAAATATGACCACAACACAATGCCTGGGTCTGTATAGGTAGTTCTCCCCTAACTTCATATCTGTGGGGTATATTCCAGGACTTTAGTAGATGTCTGAAACTGAGGATAGTACCAAGCCCTATATATTGTTCCTTTTTTAAATTTTTTTGTATACATTAATGGTAAAGTACTTTTGTATACACCTATGATAAAGTTTATAAATTAGACACAGTCATACACAACAATTTATCAGATCTTAGCAACCTCAGTATACATTTTTCCTCCTTAGGTCAAGAGCTTTCACCTTTTCACTTAAAGGAGGTACTTTACAGCTTTTCTTTGGCTATCCAAATCACCAACATCACTATGCTTTTGCTTTGGACCATTATTGAATAAAATAACTGTTACTTGAATACAAATGTTGGGATAATGTGACAGTCAACCTGATAACTAAGAAGGTAGCGCGCACTGTGGGTACACTGGACAAAGGGATGATTTGAATCATGTCCCAGGAGGAACAGAATGAAAAGGTTGCAAGGTTGCATCATGCTATTCCGAATGGCACAGAACTTAAAGCTTAATAATTTACTTCTGGAATATTCCATTTAATCTTTTTGAACCATGGTTGGCCATGAATAATTGAAACTGCAGGAAATAAAAAGCAGGATAAAGGAGGACTCTGTGCCTCTAGAAACTGATTCAACTTTCAGTCCCAATGTCAGATGCTTAGGAGAGGGAAACCAGTTGAATAACTTGAGCCAAGTGAACTAGAGATGTAATCCTCTGTAACCAGAGCAACAGAATCATACAGTGTAGACATGGCTACCAGGATTGTAGGCCCAGGATCTGTATGATGCTGTAGGGCAATGCTGGGACATCTGTGATAGGGACCTCAAGTTATGTGTTGACTTGTGATATCTGGTTTAACTTGCTTTTTTTTTTTTTTTTTTTTTTTTTTTTAATTTTTTTTTTTTTGACAGGCAGAGTGGACAGTGAGAGAGAGAGACAGAGAGAAAGGTCTTCCTTTGCCGTTGGTTCACCCTCCAATGGCCGCCGCGGCCGGCGCGCTGCGGCCGGCGCACCGCGCTGATCCGATGGCAGGAGCCAGGAGCCAGGTGCTTTTCCTGGTCTCCCATGGGGTGCAGGGCCCAAGCACCTGGGCCATCCTCCACTGCACTCCCTGGCCACAGCAGAGGGCTGGCTTGGAAGAGGGGCAACCGGGACAGAATCCGGCGCCCCGACCGGGACTAGAACCCGGTGTGCCGGCGCCGCTAGGCGGAGGATTAGCCTAGTGAGCCGCGGCGCCGGCCTGGTTTAACTTGCTTTTGAACAAACCTGGGAATAAAATTTTTATATTGGTGCTTTAAAAAATGTTTCATATGGAAGGATTATAGCTTTACTCAGTGTTACTTAAATTTGGATTGATACATGTGTCCTCTCATAAAGTTGTATTAGCAAAAATATGTAGCAACCCACAGATTCTGTGCTCAATTAACTGTTAGTCAATATTCAGATGCTTCCACTGGATACATGACATTTTCCTGGAGAAATGGCCAGTTTTGAGAAATATGGCAAGATCCTGTGGTCAAATTATATTATAAGCATTTGTGAGTTTGTGGTGCTGTCTGATCTTAATAAGCTGAACAAGCCTAATTTTATAATGCGGTTTTCCATCATTTTCCAGCTTATAAATGCAGATAAATCACTAAGTCTGAAATCTATATGCAAAGCAAAGTAAACATAACCATTTGAAAACTGCCTCAGTACAGCAAAGTAATGGCGAGACTCAGGTTTTGCATTCTTCTGAGTTCTACAGCAGCTCCCCCCTTACTAGTTGTCCACTCTTGGGCATATTACCCAACTTTTCTGTAACTCAGTTTCCCAAAATACGAACTGGGAGTAGTATGACTTTTGTAAGATTATTGTGAAGATTAAATGGGACAACACTTACAATGTTGACAACATTGTTTGGCGTAACAATAAATGTTCACTACAACTCATTTATGATCGTTATCAACACTGACTTCAGTGGGTATTACCATTAAAGTTAGCCACCTTTGGCTCAGGCAATTTGGGACATGCACAGAGCTGGAACTCCCCCTGTTTTTTGTTGTTGTTGTTGTTTTGTTTGTTTGTTTGTTTTTGGTTTTGTTTTTTTTTTTTGTTTTTTTTTTTTTTTTGCTCATCCACTAGTGTAACATCATCTGCCTCTAAGGGAAATTTACCAATTACTTTTGTACATTGATGTCTGCCTTCCATTCTCAGCTCTTACATGAATTTCTGCCCCTTTCTGCTTACTGTCATTTTATTACATCTACTAGGAAGAAGGGGAAGTGTGGGTTCTCCAGTTATATCTTGCATAGAGGTCTTTCTGAGATTTTAAAAGACATTGTTGGCTATCTCATAATGCTTAAGGAATTGCACCATCTACTCCAAATTTGAAAACTTACCAATGACAAAGTGAGAATACCGTTAGATATTGTTAATGAGTGAACTGAATGAAAAATTCCTTTTTTAATCTTTTGAATCAACTACATGAGTTGAAGAGTTTTATAAAAGTACTAGGCAGTTTGTTAAAACATTCCCATTTGCTGAGGGAGAATGTGTGGTGCAGTGGATAAAATGCCACTTGGATGATTACATCCCATATTGGAGTACTTTGAACAAATCCCTGATCAACCTCTGATTCTAGCTTCCTGCTAGTGTGCACTCTAAGTGGCAGCATGTGATAGTTCTAGTACTTGGGTCTCTGGCACCCATGTAAGAGACCTGGATTGAATTCTGGGCTTCTGACTTTGACCTGGCCCAGCCCAGGCTATTGTGGACATTTAAGTAGTGAGTCAGGGAATGAAAGATCTTTATCTCTGTGGCTGTCAATCTCTGTCTCTCTGCCTTTCAGATTAAATGAAAATAAATAAAAACAAAACAACACAACAGAAATAAATAGAGACTGAGGAGTATATAATACAGCAATTGCAACCAGTGATTTCTATCACCCTTGATTTTTGCCTAAGTGAAATCTCCATTGTTCATTATTGATTTTATTAATGTCACTTTTTATGGAACTAGGTGTATTTACTGCATTAGTGTCTAGCCTGCTTTTTTGAAGATCTCCCTAAAGTGAAAGAAAATAGGAATATAAATGGGCAAAAGAGTTTTACACATTTTTGGAAGGCACAAGGTGCTTGGAGAAATGATAAATGACTTAGAAGAGTGGAAAAGGCCTTTTGATTTTCTTTATTTATAACCCTGAAATATAAGTGACTAATGGAGGGAGAACCAACTATGGGGCAACCTGTTTACAGGACCTAGGAAAGAGGAAGGAATTGGAGACAGGAGTGAGGATGGATGAATGAAGATGACTGAAACAGACTATTTGAACCTCCGGGAAAATTAAATCAAGACACTCTGGACTTAGTGATGACAAACACAGCGCAGAGTGAGTCAATTTACCAGAAATGGGCATTAAATTCTGCATAGTAAATAGTAAAGCTCTCTGTCCATTTCTTTATCTGGATTCCCAAATTATGGGCAGTCAATATATTGCACTGAGGCAGGAATTTGAGGGGGATTTGGTTCTCCAAGGAAACAGGCCATGTAAGAACTAGGGTGATTCTTAATGTTAGATAACAGACTGCCACAAAATTTAGTGACATAAACCATGAGACATTTTATTATGCTAATAGACTATGTGTAAGAAGTTTAAAAATAGCATTGTCTAGTGAAAGAAAACCCAAGTGTGGATGGCTTGTCTTTATAATAAATAGGAAGACTCAAACATCTGGAGAAATCAAATGGCTAGTGTCTGGAATAATCCGGAAACTTCTTTAACCACAGGTTTGCTGGGATATCATGAACACTTAGTTCAGCTGGGACTGTAAACTGGGGTGCCTACATGTGGCTTCTCTGTGGTTTGGGCTTCCTCACAACATGGTAGACTGGCCCAGCAGAAAAGGTAGGTGCTCTTGGCCACCTGTGACCAAGCCTTGTAAGTCACATTGTGTCATTTCTGCTGTGCTCAACTGGTCAAAGAAGCAAACCCCATCTAGATACAAATAAGGCATAGATAGCACTTTTCAATGGGAAGTGTGTTAAGTAATTTGTTGCCAGGTAGTCATGAGAGCAACCCTCAGGAACACACCAGGGAAATTAAGGCAGAAGCCAGCAGGAAAATCATATTGAGTTCCAATTAATAAGAGCTATGGCAACAAATAATTTCTGGATCCACCTGATGGTGGGTAAAGCTGCTGTTATGACCCCTGAACTGGTATGCCTTGGCTTTGGAGCTACAAGGGAAGGATATTTAGGGCCCTCAATGGGAGGATCTGGAAAATTAGCTCAGGTGAACCTCTGGGACCCTAATCACCAAAGAGTTAGTGCGGACATATCTGGACCCTGCCTCAATAAGACAACCAAAAAATTTGGACACCAAGGATGCTGAGAATTTACTCTAATATTTGGGTGTGATAATAAAATGATGTTATACCTTGGATTTGCTTTAAAGTACTCTGATGAGGGGAGGAAGAGGTAATGGGGTATGGATGAAGCACCACCAGCTGTATGTTGATAATTATGGTAGTGGGTACATGGGAGTTCTTTATACTATTTTCTTTCATTGTATGCTTGAAAACTTTCACTTTAAAAATTTAAAAATCTTGCATATAAGTGCATGTGCATACCGGTGTACATACAGATAGAAAATAACCACTAGAGTACATTTGCTATATTTAAAACAGCAATGAGAAATTTCTAATGAAGAATTTTTGAATTTGCTTAGTTATTATTATTTTTAAAGAATATATATTTATTTACCTGAAAGAGTTACAGATAAAGGAAGAGAGAGAGAAATATAGAGAGAGAGAGGAGCCATGAACTTCAACGGGGTCTCCCACATGGGCAGTAGGGACCCAAGTGCCTCTGAGCTATCTTGTGCTGCTTTTCCCAGGTCAATAACAGGGAGCTGGACTGGAAGTGGAGCAGCCAAGACTTGAGTCATCACCCATATTGGATGCTGGTGTCACAGGTGGCACGTTTATCCACTACACCACAGTGCTGGCTCCCATTAATTATTATTTCTATGGACAACAATAATGTAGCACTTCATATATATATATATTTTTTTTTTTTTTTGACAGGCAGAGTTAGACAGTGAGAGAGAGAGACAGAGAGAAAGGTCTTCCTTTTCTGTTGGTTCACCCCCCAAATGGCTGCTATGGCCAGCATGCTGCGCCGATCTGAAGCCAGGAACCAGGTGCTTTCTCCTGGTCTCCCATGTGAGTGCAGGGCCCAAGCACTTGGACCATCCTCCACTGCCTTCCCGGGCCACAGCAGAGAGCTGGACTGGAAGAGGAGCAACTGGGACAGAATCTGGCGCCCCGACTGGGACTAGAACCAGGTTATTCTGGCGCCGCAGGCGGAAGATTAGCTGAGTGAGCTGCCCTAGCACTTCATATTTTATGAAACACTTCACAATTCTACAAGGCAGGCAGAGGAATTTAGGCAAAGGGAAAAAAAGGGACATGTTCAAGGTCACATAGTAAATGGAAAACCCAAATGTCAAATTTCAGCCTTTTGACTTTATAACTTGTTGCTGTTATATAGGAAGTTACTGTGAAAGAGTGGCTTTTAACTGATAGGGATTATATGACATTTTGATGACTAATCAAAGTTACGAACCTCTTATTAGAGAAATGTTTATGTGCCCACATTCAAAGATAGCAGGACAACTTCAGGGTTGGCGAGGTTCATTTTCCCCAAAACATGTAGCTCATTTATGGGTAAGCATATTTGGTCTGTCAAAAATAGATTTATCTCCTTTAATTGTTGTCATTTCTCAAACTTCATCCAATTAACCACATTAGATCTGCTCTCTAATTTTCTCTCCTTAGAGAGGAGAGAAAAATGATCTCCACACGAAGCATAAAAGGGCATCCTGACTTAGCCTTATATCAGCAGCTTCCCACAAGCCCCACACAGAGCCATTTTATGTTGCAACAGTTAATTTATTCATCAGTGGGGGCAGCATTGCAGCATATTGGGTTTACCCACCATGATACTGCCATCCCATATGGGTGCTGGTTCAAGCAAGTCCCAGCTGCTCCACCTCTGATCCAACTCCCTGCTAATGAGCCTAGGAAAGCAGCAGAAAATGGCTTCAGTAGTTGAGTCCCTGCTACCCATATGGGAGATCCAGATGAAGCTCCTGGCCCGTGACTTCTGCCTGGCCCAGTCCTGTACATTGTAGGCCATTTGGGGAGTGAACTAGTGGGTAGAAGATCTCACTCTTGTGTCTCCTTCTTTCTCTGTAACTCTGCCTTTCAAATAAAATAAATAAATCTTTCAAAAAAAATCTATCAATCCCCAGATCTTTTACAGTGTTTTCAGTTCAAAACCATCACATTTCTGAGAAATTGGGATATTATTGTTCACAATCTATCTATTACTGAAATGGAAAACTTTTCCCATGGCATAGATAATTAATCTTTCTTCTGTGCTCCTATAGCTTTATGAGCAAGTCACTATCAAATGAGTTCACATTATGTTACAAATAGTCATATATACAATCTTAACTTTGTTATGAAATATCTACCTTGATCTTTCAGGAGACTGTGTGCCCATGGGAACAGGAATCCTATCCCCTCATCATTAGGGAATGGCTAGCACAAGCCATCACACTTAGCAACAGTGAAATAAATACTTCATGAATTAATATGTAACTCCAAACATAATATTAGTAATTATTTAAAACAGTAAGCAATACAAAACAAAGCCACCTGCAAATACTTGCCAGGTCTAACTCTATCATCCTTTGGAGGTCAATTAAGTAGAAATTGTTTTGAGTGGTTTCTTCCATTGCTTTCCTGAGGAGGAGGAGAGATTTATTTTGGTTAAATGTTATTAAAAGTTCTCCAGTTTTGGGCCAGCGCCATGGCTCACTAGGCTAATCCTCCGCCTGTGGCACTGGCACCCCAGGTTCTAGTCCCTGTTGCTCCTCTTCCAGTCCATCTCTCTGCTGTGGCCTGGGAAGACAGTGGAGGATGGGCCAGGTGCTTGGGCCCTATACCCGCATGGGAGACCAGGAGGAAGCACCTGTCTCCTGGCTTCGGATTGGCACTGCGCGCCGGCTGTAGTGGCCATTTGGGGGGTGAACCAACAGAAAAGGAAGACCTTTCTCTCTGTCTCTCTCTCTCTCACTAACTCTGCCTGTCAAATAAATAAATAAATAAAAATTAAAAGTTCTCCAGTTTTGTTAACTACCTTTCTGGAGACGAAGCCTTGATCTAATTAAAATGTTCATTCCCAGTGACTGTCCAAGAGACCTTTGTGTCTACCTGGATTAATCAGGTGTTTTCTTCTGGATTAAAGAACAAAGGCAGAGCTGTTGTCTCCAGATGGCATTTGCTAAGGACAGGTGTTACTTTGGTAAAAGCAATAAAGCATGAGCTACTCTCCTCTCACTGCTGGAGGGTGGCCTTTCTGTGCAGTCCCTCAGTGGTGAGTGGGATTCTGAATAGAAGGATAATTAGGCAGGAAATTCTGCTGAGAGATATTTTGTGGGAAAAAGGAGGACATGGTGTACCTCGTGGTGAATTCAGAACAAGGCAATGGGTGAGGAAGCAGGGCAACGTTGCAAAATGTAAGAGTACAAAATCTTTAAATGGAAATCCTACCAATATAAACACCTTGGGGCTTCTTTGACATTTTTCATTTTGTTCTTTCTCAAAGTCTCTTCACTTATGAAAAAGGATTACTAAGGGCTTTTAAGAGGGGAGTTAAGTCTTTTGTAGCTTGTGAATTTTACTTAAATCAGAAAAACGTTTTGCCTAAAGTATAATAGCAAGCAAAACAGTGTTTGAGTTTTCTTTCCAGATGTGATGAGGTAGCTGGAGCTGACTTGCCCTCCCACCAAAAGTACTAGAAAATTGGAAAAACAGTATGTATTAAATAACTGTCTTTAAACTTTGGGCAACAGTCAGAGCAGATCTATCATGCATGTGAGAAGGTAAATATGGGCTGTGCACAGACCCCAGATTTTTGTACTTCATGGATGGTAGTACACAAAAGTAGTACCTAAGGAGAACTCAGTGGCCTTGTGTGGAGGACACAGAAATCAGACATTAAGGAGGTTGAGGGAACTGGAGTTAGGAGGGCAGGGAATGGGAGAGTAGAAAAACAAGCAGAGGAAGAGCACCAGAAACCTACATAGAGGTCCAGTCAAGTTTCTTGCTGAAAACTGAACTCCACGCACAGAGGATGGAAGCTCCTCCAGATCAGGCACAGAAATAGTAGGGAGCTGTAAAATAAGCAATTTCTGGAGATCCTAGTTGTCTTAGTCTATTTGTGCTGCTGTAACAAAATGTCTGTGACTGGGTAATATAAACAATGGAAATTTACTTGTCACAGTTATGCAGAGTCCAAGATCAAGGTGCCAGTAGGCTCGGTACCCAGTGGGGACTTTGTCTATGCTTACAAGATGGTGCCCTGTAGCTGTACCTTCCAGAGGAGACAAATGCCATATTCTCACGTGGTGGGAAGAATAGGCAGCTAAGGAGCCTAGCTAGTTAGATCACTAATCTCTTATTAGATCACTAATCGGATACAGGAGGGCAGGGCCCTTGTAGTCTAGTACCCTCCTAAAGATTATTACTATTTAGGAAGTCTATAACCTCCTAAAGTTTATTACTAAAACTAGCAATGGAGATTGTTTCAACATGCTTTTTGGAGGAACCAAAACATCTAAACTATAGCATTATGCCCCTAGCCGCCCCCCCCCCATATATTATTTCCTTCTCTCATTTAAAAAAATTCACTCCCCAGAAGTTTTAACTCACTTCAACATCAACTTTTAGGTCAAGTCCAGAATCTCATCTAAATATCAATTAAATCAAATATGGGTAAGACTCAAGACATGATTCATTCTGAGATAAATTTCTCTCCAGCTGTGAACTTATAAAATCAAACAAGGTATATGCTTTCAAAATATAATTGTGCAACAGGCACAAGATAGAAAATTTTATTCCAAAATTGATAAGAGGAAAGAAGAAATAACAGGTTCTGACAAAACCCACAACCTAACAGGGCAAACATTCATCCTAGGGCTTGAGGATAATTGTCTTTGACTCCATGCTCTGCCTTTTAGACATACTGGGGAAGGATTGGGTCCATTAGGCTCTGAATGGCTCTGCTCCCATGATTTCACTGGGTGCAGACCAAACAGTATCCCTCAGAAGTTGGAGTTGGGTGCCTGAAGTTCTTCTAGGCTGGTATTGCATGCCTGGGTCCCAAGGAAGGCTCTGCCCACAGGATCCATCATGCATTGCCCTAGTGAGAATTCTCTGCAGTGGCTTTGCTATTGTGGACTTTTGCCTAATCTCTGATACTTTCTGAGACATCTTTTGAAATCTAAGTTAAGGTAGTCATCCTTTCATAGCTCATGCACCCTGGGCACCTATAGAATTGGTGCCACTTGTATACTGCCAATAGTTATCACTATGCCTTCTGGGATGGTGGTCTGAACCACACTTCAGTCTACTTGAATGGTAGCTAGGATGTTAAAGAGAACTGTGCTAGAATGTAGGAGACAGAACCATGAGCCATCCCACAGGAGCCCTGGACTCCTCTTTTGAAATTGTCTGCCTTCAAGGCCTGCAATTCTGGGCCTCTGATGGATGGGGCGCAGAAAATGCCTTTGGTGACATTCTTTTGTTGTCCTGATGAATAGTATATGACTTTCTTCAATTCAAACTGATCTCCTTAGCAAACATTCACTAGCTCACATCTTTAGAATTCTCTTCCAGAGATGCCATTTTTATTTGCTACATTACCAGATTGAGAATTTTCCACATTCTTTTAGTTCTATTTCCCTTTTGGTTATAAATCCCATCTTTAATTCATTTCTCTCTTCTTGTGTTTTACCATAAGCAGTCAGGAGAAGCCAGACAGCACCCTGAACACTTTGCTTAAAGATTTCTTCTACCAAATATCCTATCTCATATCTCTTAATTTTTTTTCATAAAGCAGCTGAATAGTGACACAATTCAGCCAACTTCTTTGTGATTTTACAACAAGGAGGGCCATTCCTCTAGTTTGTAAGACCTTGTTCCTCATTTTCATTTGAGACTTTATCAGAATGGTCTTTATCATTCATATTTCTATCAACATTTTAGAACAATTGCCTAAGTAATTTCCAAAAAGATTTAGGCTGCCTATAGCCCTATTATTCTGAGCCCTCACTAGAATCTTCTTTAGCCATGTAAGCATTTCCTAGCATCAGTCGTCAAACTCTTCTAACCTCTACCCTCCATCAGTTCCAACCCTACTCACACATTTCAGGTGTTTTTTATGGTATCGTCTTACCTCAGTTCTTGTTGCTGTAACAAAATAGCAGTAACTAGGTCTTTTATAAATAACAGAATTTTATTCTTCACAGATCTGGATGTTGAAAAGAACAAAATCAAGGCATCAGCATATTTGCTGTCTGCTAAGAGTTGCTTTCTGTTCCCAAGATGGCATGATATTGCTATGTCCTCACATGGCAAATAGGATAGAAGAACAAAAAAGGGTCTAGCTAGTTCCTGCCAGTATTTCTGTAAGGTTGCTAGCCTCATTTATGAAAGTGGAGCCCTCATGAGCTAATCACTTCCTAAAGGTCCCATCTCTTTGTACTATTGCATAGAGGGATTACATTTCAACATATATTGTACAGTAGAAATACTTGACTGAAAGTTATTTGAGTTCCAACTATTCAAACAGGTGAAACCTCACTGAATATTAAATAAGACCCCAGAAGATGCACAGCTTAGTAGCAGGATTAAACCAGTAATAGAATAAAGTAGAAATTCATGCAAACTTAAAAACAGACCTCAAAATTCTCAAGCTGATCCATATATATTTTAATTTTCTGGCAAAAGAAACTTAAGTATACTTAATAAGAGACAACGAAATATAGACCCTGACCAGTACAATAATTATAATTTTCAGCATCCAATAGAAATTTCTAGACAGGTAAAGAAGCAGGAAAATGTAACCCATAACCAGGGTGGAAAAAAATCAGTAGTAACAAAGCTAGAAGTGACAAGAAAGATAGAATTAACATATAATGATTTTAACATTGCTCTAACAAATGTGCTCAAGAAGTTAAAGAAAAGCATGAAATTAGTAGAGAAATAAAAACTTATTTCAAAAATAAGTACATAGGAGTGCCAAGGATGAAAGGTCAGTATGTAAAATGAAAATGTTACAGGGTAGATTTAATAGACTTAATGGTATAGAATTAAAAAAAAGGTCATTGAAACTGAAAATTTAGAAATAACAGCTATCCAAACAAAAGCATAGAAAGAAATAAATGACCAAAATAAATGAATAGGGTGATCTTTGGGACAACTCTACTTGTGCGTACTTGGAATCCAAGAAGGAAAAAGGGGGTAGGAAAAGTATATTATGAATAAAGGAGAAAGATTTCCAAATTGGACTCAAGACTACAAAATTACAAATACAAGTAATTCAACAAAGCTCAACTAAAATTAACAATCACACCAACAAGTAAATAAATAAAGCATGCATGGCATATCTTGATCAGATATCTGAAAATCAGTGATAAAGAAAATATTGTAAAAATATAAGAAGTGATATCATGATAAAATATATGAAGAACAAAGATAAAAATGATATAAGAAGCAATACAAGCCAGTACATAACAGAATAGATTTAAAATGACAAAAGAAGAATAAAAGAACCCTTTTACCTTACCTCTAGATTAAATAAAAATATCCTTTAGTGAGTGAAATACTTATTCAGAAAAACATAAAAGATACAAGCAATAGCATAGGTTTAAACCTAACCATATCAATAATTCATGACATGTAAGTGGTCTCTAAAGGCCCTAAATAAAAGTCAAAGATTATAAAACTGAGTAGAAAATAAAAGATAAGACTCAACTCTATGCAACCTGTAAGAAATCTACTTTGAATATCAAAGTCTAATTTAAAGGCAAAAGACTGAAAAAATTTAAAAAATAAAAGAAAAATAGAGTGGCTATATTAATATTAAAGTAGGCTCAGAACAAGGTATATAATCATAATAAAGAATGACATTATGATTTAAACTTCCAGTTATAATTATGCATAAGGTACCCTAAAGAACAGCACCCAAAGTAAACAGAAGAAAAGGAATAATAAAGATAAGAACAGAAAGCAGTTAAACAGAAAGTGGACAAACAGGGGATGGCATTATGGTGCAGCAGGATAAGCTACTGCCTGTGATGCTGGCATTGTGTTTGAGTGCAGGTTTGAGTTCCAGCTGTTCCACTTCTGTTCCAGCTCCCTGCTACTGCACCTGGGAAAGCAGTAGAAAATGGCCCAGGTGGGGTCCTGCCACCCACGTGGGAGACCTGGATGCAATTCCAAGCTTCTGGTTTTGGCCTGGTACAGCCCAGGCATTATGGCCATTTGGGGAGTGAACCAGTGGATGGAAGATCTCTCTCTCTGTCTCGATTGCCCTATCTGTTACTCTGCCTTTCAAATAAATAAAATAAATCTCTTTGAAATAAATAGTGGGCAAACAGAAAATATCAACAAAACTACATGTGGATTCTTTGGAAAGATCAATAAAATTGATAAGCCTCTAGCCAGAGTGTTCAGAAGAAAAAAGAGAGGGATACAAAAGCCAGTATCAAAAATTACAGAGAATTCTCCACCAGAAATGAGCATTACATTAAATTCTGCATAGTACATAGTAAAAGATTCCTGTTTCTTTATCTGGACTTTGAAATTATTATGAATGGATTTCTGTAAAAAAATTGGTGAAATTTAGACATATAAACAATAGACATTTCTCAGCACAAATTATGAAAACTCACATAAGTAAAAATGGAATCTTTTCAATAGCCCTCTATGTAATGAAGAGATTATATTTACCATGAAAAGATTTTGGGCAAAGAATATTACAGATTTGCTAGGCTGCTTCATTGGTGAATTCCATCGAACACTTTTTTTTTTTAAAAGATTTATTTATTTATTTATTTATTTGAAAATCAGTTACAGAGCAAGAGGGAGAGAGATCTTTCATCCACTTGTTCACTCCCCAGATGGCCTCAATGACCAGGGCTGGGCCAGGCTGAAGCCAGGAGCCAGGAGCTTCATCCAGGTCTGCCACGTGGGTGGTAGGGGTCCATACACTTGTGCCATCTTCCACTACTTTTCCAAGGCCTTTAGCAGGGAACTGGATTAGAAGTGGAGCAGCCGAGACTGGAACTGGTGCCCATTTGGGATGCTGGTGGTGATTTTATCCACTATGCCGCAATGCCAGCCCCTCCTTCAAACATTTAAATGAAGATAAAAATCATACATAAGCTTTTTTTGGAAAATAGCATAGGAGGAAATTGTTCTTAATTTGTTTTATGAGGCTGTCTTGCTCAAATAACAATAACATACCAACACATAATAGGAAAACTGTAGAGCCATGTCCCTCATGAACATGAACACATAATTACTCTGCCAATTAGAAACAAATGGAATAAATTAGAGAAAATACAAAATGAACAAATATTTATCCCAGGAACACAAAGTTGGTTTACGTTCAAAATCATTAATAGCATCATCATTCACAATTGAGTAAATAATAAAAATGACATGAATACTATTAGATGCAGAAAAGCAGTGAGCAAAATTGAACACATATTTATGGCAAAATACTTCAGCAAATTAGGAGTGAAAGGTAAAATTTTATCTTGATAAATGCATCTACCAAACAAACAAAACAAAACAAAACCCTCATAGCTACCAGCACATTTAATAGTGAAAGGCTCAATGTAAGACTGGGAACGTAGGATCCAGCCTTGTGGCACCATGAGTTAAACTACTGTAACCTGTGACACTGGCATTCCATATGGGTGCTCATTTGAGTCCCAAATGCTCCACTTATTTTTCCACCTCCTTGCTAATGCAACTGGAAAAGCAGTGAAAGTGCTTGGGTCCCTACATCCAAGTAGGAGACCCAGGTGGAGTTCCAGGCCCCTGGCTTCAGCTTGTCCCAACCCTGGCCTAGGCCAATGTGGCTATTTCAGGAGAGACGAGTGGATAAAAGATCTGCCTGTCTCTTTCTCTCTGCGTAATTCTATCATTCAAATAAATAAATCTTTTTTAAAAAAAGGATTGGCAAAATAGCAAGAATATTTGTTTTTAACATTTCTATTTGATTCTGCACTGGCTCTAGTCCATGTTCCTAGTCCACACAAAGAAAGATGAAGAAAAAAGGAATGCACGTTAAAAAGGGAGAAAGAAATCTGTCCTTATAAACGTAAGACATGATCACATATGTACAAAACCCTAAAAAAAATACAAGAAACTTATTGGAACATACAAGTGAATTTAGTAAGGTTGCAGGATATAATAAAAGTTATAGCATTTATAATTGCATAAAATAATTAGGGACAAGTTTTAAAATGGTGTTAAGATTATATACCATAAGACCTTAAAACTGTAAAACTATTTAGAAAGAAATGAAAAACTACATAAATGATAAGATATACCAGGTTCATGGATTGGAATACTGCATATTTTTAAGATATCAATTCTTCCTGACTTGATGTAAGATTTTACCTCAAACATAGCATATTTCTTTGGAAGAGTTGTCAAGTTGATTCTCCAATTTCTATGAAAATACAAAGAGCCTAGAAAAGCAGTTTTGGGAAAGAACAATATTGGAGGTTGACACTGCCATATAAAAATAGTACATGTAATTTTTATAGCATATAATACTTGAATGATAATAAATGTTACTGTTTTATACACTTATTGTACTATATTTTTTTATCATTATTTTAGAATGTACTCTACTTGTTAAAAAATGTACTCTACTTGTTAAAACAGTATGCCATGCCATATCATGCCAGGAGCAGGGCTTATACATCTCATCTTTACCACATCTTTACATCATTATCTCTTGTGCTTGATTTAACTCATGTCTTATTCCTCACGGTGCTAGCAGAAATAGACTATGTCATTTATATACCATATAACCTTGTTTTGAGGCAGGCCATTCTAAGTAAGTTTGTGTAAGTACACTTGACATTTTTGTACAATGATAAAAATGTCCAGTTATGCAGTTCTCAGAATATGTTCCTGTCCTAAAGAGACACACGACTCTACTTGGCTTCAAAACTTGCAAAAACTAATCAGGACAGTATGGTATTGATGTAAGGATAGATACACAGGTCAATAGAACAGAAGACCACACATACAACACTATTAACACCACTACCCACGTGAGAAGGATATTCAGAATGTTCATAAAAAGTGTGCATTATGAAAAAATTATGTATGGATTACAGAATTTTTTATATCAAGATAAATTTATCTTCTATTTTTTTCTTTTTTTTTCACATTGGGAGATTTTTATTAACTTGACATTCTTTTTTTTTTTTTTTTTGACAGGCAGAGTGGACAGTGAGAGAGAGAGACAGAGAGAAAGGTCTTCCTTTGCCGTTGGTTCACCCTCCAATGGCCACCGCGGCTGGCGTGCTACGGTCGGCGCACCGCGCTGATCCGATGGCAGGGGCCAGGTACTTATCCTGGTCTCCCATGGGGTGCAGGGCCCAAGGACTTGGGCCATCCTCCACTGCACTCCCTGGCCACAGCAGAGAACTGGCCTGGAAGAGGGGCAACCAGGACAGAATCCGGTGCCCCGACTGGGACTAGAACCCGGTGTGCCGGCACTGCAAGGCGGAGGATTAGCCTAGTGAGCCGCAGCGCTGGCTAACTTGACATTCTTAATTTTGTCTATTATCTCCTTAGTAAATGTGCCTTAAGTAATACAAACCTACAAGTGTTTCTTAATACCACAGAATCATGAAGATTTGCAGTTATCCATGTTTTATAATGATTAAAACAATGCTCAAAAATTAACATGTTACTTCACTGAAATACTTAAAAGAACATTCTGAGGAGTGTTTGAAAGCTCTGTTTATAAATAGTGATTGATACATTTATTACTTATGTTATGCTGAAGATAAACACATCTTATAAAAAACACTTTTAATACACTGCTTCACTAATGAGATATATTTTAACCCTAAAGAATAAAGCTTTATCATAATATATTTATAGGAATTTTATCCATGAAGAATTTCGTATACAACAATAATAAACAGGCATATTGCGAGTGACATTCTGTAAAGCAAAAAAGGACAGCTGCAAGAAAAGAAACCAGATACCTGCATTAAACATTCTTTGTACAAACAGTCCATTGGGAACAGAATGCATACCAAATATTTTTAAAAGTTCGTGTGGCTAGATGGTAATTACAATCTCCACACGTTAAAAAGAAAAAGAACAATAACACAGAACACAGTATTCTTAACAATTGTAACACATTTAAGACCTTCAGCCATTTCACTGGGTTCTCAGATCAAATTGGTAATTGAAATTTGACATCCACATGGGCTTGCTTGGCTAAAGTCACTATTTCAGACAGCTTTACAACCATTCTAGCAGCTTCATCCAAATCATTACAAGCAAGAATTTTAAGTCCACTGTCTGCTATCAGTGCCTTAGCATCACCAACCCGTGTACCTTGTAATCGTACCACAACAGATATTTTAATTTCCAAATCTTTTACTGCCATGACTATACCTTGTGCAATAACATCACATCACATGATTCATCCAAAAATGTTAACCAGAATGGCTAGTACCTTTTTATCTGAAGTGACAAGCTTAAATGCTTCTGTTACTTGATGGGCTGTGGCACCACCACCACCATCAAGAAAGTTGGCTGGAGTCCCTCCATGAAGCTTTATTATCTCCATTGTGGCCATAGCCAAACCAGCACCATTTACTAGGCAGCCTATATTTCCATCAAGACCAATGTAGTTGAGATCTGCCTTCGCTGCATCTTTGTCCCTTTCATCTTCCTGGGTCCAGTCCTGGAGATCAAAGATTTTCTTTTGGTGATATGCTGAATTAGAGTCAAATTAAACTTTGCATCCATACACAGCACAGCTCCATCTGAATCTTCCACCATTGGATTTATTTCTACCATGGTTGCATCATATTTCAGAAAAAGGTTGTAAAGCTTGACCATGTTTTCTGCTGCAGAATCCACAATGTTAGGTGGAAATCCCATCTTCTCTGCAAGCCGGACAGCTTGTTCCTTTTTGATTCCTTCTACAATATCAATAGGTTCTTTAACTATCGCATCAGGAGTCTCAGCAGCAACATCTTCAATGTTAATACCACCTTGTGAACTTCCTATTAATGCAGGACCTTGAAATGGCCTTTCCATTGCTATTGCAAAGTAGTATTCTCTTCTGGGATATTTTCACTCACAGATCAAAACTTGATTGCGTATTCTGCCCTTTTCTCCAGTTTGCTTGGTAAACTACCTTTTCCCAATCATTTGTGAAGAAATAGCTTTTGCTTCTTCTGGAGAGAAAACAATCTTTACTCCTCCTTTGAGGCCACGTTCAGATGTTCCTTTTCCTCTACCACCAGCTAAAACCTGTGCCTTTATCACAACATCTTTTGAGCCTAATTTTTTGGCAATTGCATAAGCTTCATCTGGTGACTTTGCCACAAATCCTTTGGGAACGGAGACACCAGCTTCTTGCAACAATTCCATACTCATGTATTCGTATAGTGAAAGATTCCTTTGCTGCTGCTGCTGTACTTGGAGTCCATGATTATTAAATAATCCAGAACTTCCAAGAACCTGAGCAGCAGCCCGCAACGCCGTCCGGGGCCGGTGGCTCCTAAGGGTGGCGTCAGCCAACAGCCCTAATTCTATTTTTTTTTCACAGAGAGGGATAGATCTTCCATCTACCTGTTGATTCCCTAAATGCCCCCAATAGCCAGGTGTAGGCCAGGCTGAAACCAGCAGCCAGGAACTCCATCTGAATCTCCCAAGAACCTGGTCTATCATCTGCTGCCTCACAGGTGCATTAACAGGAAGCTGGATCAGAAGCACAGAGTAGCTGGTACTCAAAAGACACTGGGATATGGGATGTGGTCATCCTAAGTAGTGGCTTGACATGCTGTACCATGCTGCCTGCCCTTCACAGATTTTTTTTTTTTTTTGACAGGCAGAGTGGACAGTGAGAGAGAGAGAGAGAGAGAGAGAGAGAAAGGTCTTCCTTTTCCATTGGTTCACCCCCCAATGGCCGCTGCGGCCGGCACACTGTGGCCGGGGCACAGCGCTGATCTGAAGCCAGAGGCCCGGTGCTTCTCCTGGTCTCCCATGCGGGTGCAGGGCCCAAGGACTTGGGCCATCCTCCACTGCACTCCCGGGCCATAGCAGAGAACTAGACTGGAAGAGGAGCAACTGGGATAGAATCCGGCGCCACGACAGGGACTAGAACCTGGTGTGCTGGTGCTACAGGCGGAGGATTAGCTTATTGAGCTGCAGCACCGGCTGCTCTCCACAGATTTTTAAAGTACCCATGTGTGTGTGTGTGTGTCTGTGTGTATGTCAAATGGCCTTTACATCTCTCCTTTTCCACAAATGACGCTGATACAACTGGCTATCCATTTAGGAAATAAAGTGAACACAATACCATACTATATCCTCTTTTTCAGGTAGCAACTTGAAATGGTTCATAGATTTAAATATAAATGCCAATACTCTGAAACTGTTTGAAGAAAACTTAGAAAATATTCATCACTTGTTGACATATATTAGGAACACAACAACCATGAAAGAAAAAACTGCAAATTTCATAATTAAAATCTTCTGCTCTTCATAAGACACATTAAAAATGAAAAGGCAAGAATTAACTTAGTTAAAATATTTTGAAACATATACATTCAGGAACAAGTCTCGGAATTCAATAGTAAGATGAAAATCAATAATAACCGTTATAATTCAATAGTAGATGAAAACCCCAAGTAGAAAATGGATTAACAATCTGAATAGACACTCCATAAAAGATTACAAATGGCCAAAAATGCATGAAAAATAGTAAACATCACTATTCATTAGTCAATGAAAATTAAAACACAATGAGATGCATTCACACATTCACTAGAATTACTGAAGTTAAAAAATACAATAATAAGGCCAGCACCGTGGCTCAATAGGCTAATCCTCTGCCTGCGGCGCCGGCAAACCAGGTTCCAGTCCTGGTCGGGACACCGGATTCTCTCCTGGTTGCCCCTCTTCCAGTCCAGTTCTCTGCTGTGGCCCGGGAAGGCAGTGGAGGATGGCCCAAGTCCTTGGGCCCTGCAGCCGCATGGGAGACCAGGAGGAAGCGCCTAGCTCCTGGCTTCGGATCGTCGCCAGCATCTGTTGTTGGTAGATTTCTGTATGTGAGCCATTCCAGCTGGGGTGAGGTGAAACCTCATTGTGCTTTTGATTTGCATTACCCTAATGGCTAGTGATCCTGAACATTTTTTCAAGTGTCTTTTGGCCATTTGAATTTCCTCTTTTGAAAAATGTCTTTTTAGGTCCTTGGCCCATCTCTTAAGTGGGTTGTTTGTTTTGTTGTTGTGGAGTTTCTTGATATCATTGTAGATTCTGGTTATTAAACATCTTAAAATTATAGAAATGTATTGATGGTGCCACCATCATTAACAGGTATATACTTAGGACAGATATATATGATTTTATCACATCTCATTAAACTGTACTTAAAAATGCATTTTATTGCATATAATTTATGCCTGAATTAAGTTGATTTTTGAAAAGGCACTTTCATTGACAAAAAGGCTACTATGAAATGCCTCCCTGATTGATGACTGCTCAGCCATGAGCAGTCATCTTACTAGTTACATGGATGCACATTATACGGAATCAATAGCCAAATTAACATACAGATATAGCTCCTTTGGGAAAGCATTGAAGGCTTTGCCAAACTAGGATTTATCATGGGTTCTGTGTTGTGAGAGGCGCAATGTGGTGAAAAGTGTGATTGAGAGATCCCAAGGAGAGAAAAGGGAAGCCAAATGCACACAGTGGACTTGACAAGGTGCTAGGTCTCAGAGATCTCTGAGTAGAGTGAAAGGCCAGAAAGATAAATACTATTCACTTCTAGGGTTTTGACCCCTTGTGAGAATGAGTACTAAAAGATACAGAAAGGGAACAAAATGTAAGAAGTGGGCGATTCACATGGGGACAAAGGCTCACAAACTCTTGACTGCCCTACATGTAGTTCTTTGGCAGTAATAGCTCAGGTTTATATAGTGTTTCCTGTGTAATCACATTCTTAAAAGGACATCTGCATCTGTATCTATACTATATGAGTTTTTATGCTTATGCCTACAGCTAGATACTGATAAATGTATACTGATATGTATACATACGTATTAATTTATCTACCACGATAACAGCTCTGATTATCATCCCTATCTGACTATTTCATAACAAACTTACCTGCCCAAAGTCACACAGGTACTAAAAGACAGATCTAAGACTTAAACCCATATAGTGTGGTACAGAGTTTGTGCTTTTCCATTATTACATTATTTTGCCAACTGCATGCTGAAGGTGTCAGCACTTTAGGGACTACTTCTACAGGTAGAATCACAGAGTACCTTCACCTCCTCCATCAGATTGTAAAATGTGAAAAAATATTGTAGGTGTGTGTGTGTTTCCTGAGTGTAACTGCCCACTGTCACATGTTTTTTATTTAACAAACATTTGTTGAGTGACTTCTATGTGTCTGATATTATGCCAATTACTGGGGATTCGGAAATAATTAAGATCTAATCCCCACTTTCAAAGAACTGGAAGTTCTGCCAAGATGATTTGGTGAAAGTCATATAGTGCAGATGGAAGTCTGGAACACTGTCCACACCAGTATAAACGAGGCAGGGCAGTCTGTTCCCATGTTATCAGAAGAGTGTCTGCACTTGAGTCTTTGAAGATGATACCTGGGCATCCCTGGGGGTCCTATTATTTTTACCATTAAGCAATGTGAAACCATAAAATGATTAGGGTCGGCATGCTTTTAGAGAATTAATGTTCTAACAAATTGGGTGATTTTGCTCAGCTTGGCTATTGAGGATAACATATTGTGAATTTACTGAGCTCATCTGTGACCAGATTCCTCTGCAGGGTAATTGAAAGTGAATGGAAATGGCTATTTATGCATTCATAGCCATTAGATATTGCTTTCATCTCTGATTTCTTTGGATGATGAGTCAAAATATATACTGAAATCATTGCCTGCGGGTGCCGCTTTGCATGTTCAATTAACAAGGGCCTATGCTTGATACTGGCTGTGGAAAGGCAGATGGTGAAGGGAAACTGTACTGTTACACTCAGAAGTGGTCCACTAGCCAAATGGAGGTATGTTTCCGAATTGCCTCTCCTTCTTTCAGGGTTTGATGGCCACTAGGAATGTGTGTGGCCCTCTGCTAGGTTCGCAATCCTCTGGTGGCATTGCCCAATGGTTTTGCAAGGATGCTAAGAAAAACTGAAAAAAACAAAAAGAGTTATTGGTAAAATACATCTAAGAAGGATTTATTGAATAAAGTTAAGTGTGTTTTTTAGTGTAGGGTTTTTCAGAGTCCTGAGTACACTTATGTGAATTGCAAAGCTGTATGAAAGAGAGGTAATGAGTTCATCAAACTTACATAAGGAAGATAGTGCTTACTGAATACTCTGTACTATTTATTAGGTTAAATAGTTTTCCTAGATTACTTTATATAGTGTATGTAACTGCTATATGATATATATTTTTTTTTTGTAATGATAGCACTAAGGTCTGGTGTGAGTGGTGCTTGACAGGACAGCCAAGGTCATAATGAGGAAGTGACTTTTCAGGATTTGAAAAAAGCAGTTTGGCCAGAGAACTCATACTCTTCATGAAGCACTCTATTTCTTCCTTTTAAATTTTTTCCAAAAAGGCTCTTGTTCAAGGTGAGGTCCACAGATCACATCGAGTAAGGAATTTTTAGGATAAAAGTAGCAGATGTTCTGGGAAATCCCCTAGATCAGAGACACACATTAATGCCAGTATAGATAAGGAAATACAAACAGTGTTAAAAATTAACATTTTTCAACTCATCCCACCTATTTCTGTTCCATAAGTACAAATGAATGAATGGTTCCTGGACTTGAGAATGAAAACCATGTTCAAATCTTCCTAAGCATTTGAGTCATATTGTACTTATCTAGCTCATTCTTCACTTCTCTATGCAAACATCACCAAGTTCCTAATGATACTATTTCAGTAAATTCATACATTTTTGAGTGCATATGATGAGCTGGGTCCTGCACTAGCTATTACATTCAGAGAAAGTTTTGAAGTCAATGCAAGAATCTGACAGAAGTGTGGAACTGATTGTTTGTAAGGCTGGTTGGGGTATGCAATTAAGGGATGACATCCCCAGTGGTCCACCTAAGACTGCACTCTTGAATTAGGAAGATGTATCCATCTAAGTCTTGGAAGAACAGTTCAATCTCTTCACTCTCCATACACTTATTCTGTAGTAATGACAAAGAATATGGGTGTCCAGAAGGCAGGCAGGGCCCAAAGGAGGGGTAGATGGGACTGATTTCAGTATACTTGATTTCTTCTCACACATTTTCCAATGAAATAAACTACCTGGAGAGAAGTAAGGGAAGGCTTAGAGATTCATTAGATGTTCCTCCCATGTTTTTCTCTTCTGAGGAGGAGAAGAAATAATCCTATTCTATGGAGCTAGAAACAAATACAGGGGAAATAATCCACTTCCCTGAATGTTAGTGATGGGAAATAAATAACACTGCTCAGCCTATATAGTCTCCCAAGGCACTCAGAGTCTAGCAGAAAAGACAGGCAGATAAATTGACAACTAAAACGTTGTGAAGTACCAGTACAAGTGAGGAGGTAAAGCAGAAGGTTATTTGGCCCCAGGACTATTTTCAGCCACTTAAACACAAAATGTACATTGTTTTCTTCCATCTATCAGGATGACATTTGTACATATTAATATTTTCATGTATTCATTCAAACATCAAACATATATAGAATATGGACAAGTACACGCCCTGGAAATACAAAGATGAAGCCAGAAAACTGCCCCTCCCAGCTTTAAAAAGAAATATTCTCATGGGTTAATTATTGTGAAATAGTGGTTCATTGGTTATGTGGAAAGTCTTCAAGATAATGCCACACAGAGTATAAAGTTTAGGGGAGGGAGATGTGTAGAGCAGGTTAGGGACACCACCCCAGCACTATAAATTGGAAAGGAGGAAGAGAGAAAGAATGGTAAAAAATGGGCAGTGAACCTCAGGAATGAGTTGTGGAAGGGCTCTCTCCCAGTCATCCCAGATTTGTCCAGAATCAGTAGGTCGTTTATTAGGATAGGATTGTACCCATGCAAAGTCAAGTGAGGCCAGGGAACAAAGCAAACACTTAGAATTGAACTGATAAAACACTGAGAGTGGTTCTAACTATTCTGTTCTCCAAGAACATGAGCTGGTAGTTATTCTATTTGTGAAGAGAAGATGGAATGATTGAGGATTTAGAAATTGAGAAGCTAAGCTAGCTATAATGAAATATAGTGGATATAGTAACCAGAGTACTCTAATATTTGTCTCCACAAAATAAGACGCAAGAATTAAAATAATAAAAACTTCTATGTAACGTTACATTACTTGCTTGATTGGGAAGGGAACAAAGCCATTACTTGCCAGAGTGAAATGCTGTTTCAGGGGAACGTATGTATGTCTCTTTAGAAACCTCACTCTGGAATGCTGGCAGTTGGAAAGACAGCAAGAACTTTCTTTTTCTTTCCCCAACTCCAGCACTCCTGGTCAAACTCTATGGTTTATTATTTTAATCCATCACACCACCTTCTAGCACATGTATCATTTACTTTTTTTTTTTGTTTCCTATTTATCTTCTGTCTCTCCCACTGAGATATAAGATCCATGAGGATGAATCTTTATTTGTTCCTCAATATAACCCAGGTACCTAGGAGAGTGTATACCTGGCATGCTGTAGGCTTTCAACCAGTGTGTGTTGCATGATGAATCATTTGCGAAATTCCTCTGGAGAACTAACTTAGAGGTAGTCTCATGGAAAAAAAGAAGTTTTAAGGGGGAAAAAGGAATCTTTGTGAAAAACATTCAGTGACTTTGCAACAGATCATTGCCAGGATATGAATTAGGGAAGAAGACAAAGCCAACTGAGCTGTTAGCAGAATGTAGTGATGTGCTGAGAAAAAACAGCTCCCGTGGAGGTATTTAAATAAGAAACTTAAAATTACAAAACTAATCTTTCCCCACCTCTTCTGCTGATTATTTTAAGATACAAATGTCCAGGTGGTGTTCACTTCTTCTCCTGATGATTTCATCAACTGTTTTGTAGGAAATTACTGGTTAGCTTATTTAATGGCTTACCAGACCCAGCAGAACCCGACACCTCTGGAATCTTTGGGGCTGTGAAACTGGTGGTGCAGCTGGGTGCCATAAATGAGTTTTCTGGATCTCCACTCAGCTGCTGCAATTGAGGAGGCATTGAAAATTGTCTCTGTTTTTCCTTCTTTAATCCCATAATTGTTTTCACTTCAGAAGACTGGGTTAATTATATGGTAGCTATTTTAGGTTTGCTTCTGCCTACATAATGTTTGTGTTTGGTGATTTTCCTTGGCTAAATGGAAAGCTTATTCTTGGGTGTCAGGAATGAAAAGGACAGTAATAGTAGCCAGTATTTGTGCAGCAATGATCACTGAACTTTACTTCATTAAGTCATCATAATGACCATGTTGAGTGGTATCTAGGGTATAAGCATTCTATTTCAAATTACTTGAGGCTTGGAGTTGTCAAGTTGTGTGTTCAGAGTTACGTAGCTAGGCAGATACTGCAGGTAGCACTTAGACCAAATGCTGGGAACCAAAATCCTGGGCAATCTTTACTGTCCGTAGGTTGTCATAGTCCTTATACAACAATCGCTGCATCATTAGTGTAATCATAAAATTCTGCCTAGTGAATTGTAGACTTGAGAAGTATATGAACTCTTGAACTTTAAGAGTGCAACCTTTATTTCATATAAAATCTTTTTCTGTTACAGTAACTTTGTGATGTAAAAAGCAAAGAAACTTTTCCTCCCAATTTTATTCAGTAGTTTCATATCTCTAAAAATACACAAAACATCCAGATTAGCATCGAGATAAGATCTAGGCCATTACTGTTAGTCTTTTTTTTTTTTTCTCCTTGGCTGCAACTGGAGTGTCCAGAAATAACATGGAAACTTCTAACCTTCTTTCTTCACCTCACTACCACCAGACTGTATGCCATAAGAGGCATTAAGAGGCTAAGAAACAGAATTGTTGTAGGATGGAATCCAACAAGACTCCTATTTTCAAACTCTATTTGAGTACTGATATATTCTAATAATTTTTTTATCATTAAATAGCTTTTCTTAGTGGTGTTTCTTCTTTCTCTCTCTCTCCTTCTCTCTCTCTCTCTCCTTCTCTCTCTCTCTCTCTCTCTCTCTCTCTCTCTCTCTCTCTCTCTCTTTCTCTCTTCTGTCTTCCTGAAACTAAGAAAGCATTAGTCATTTATCCTTCCTGATGCTAACGTGCATATTTTGAAGTGTTCTAAAATACCACCATATAAAGAACCATCTGCTGTGGTATAAATTTTGTAATGTTATCCAGATTCTGCTGAATGTATCCTAGCTGTGGCACAGAGCTGTTACTGCCCTCAGATCCACTCCTTACCCTTCAGCTGCATGATGAGCTGATCCCTGTGGGCTGTTTCCAGCTTCAGGTGTCAGCATGAAGGCTTCTGGCTGAGTGTGGCTAATGTGCAGCCCTGCAGGATATTGGGAGGTGGGAGTAATGGAGATTCCAGGGTATCTTTGTAGGAAACCTCAAAAGGTTTGTGGGAAAATGGAATGAAAAGATACATTTATTTTGGTGCAAAAAAAAACAAATAAAATCCACACATAGTATTTTTATAATAGACATTTTCCCCAAACTTTTTGCAGACCTTTCATTTCTGGCTATGCTATATATATTTTTTCCCATGGCACTATCTCTTGTCTGACAGACCTGCTATGGAAGTAGCTTCTGCTGGGTGACCCTGGTACCTGCACTCTGGTCTTTATCTATCTAGCCTAGTAGTGATAGCGGCTCCCTGATGTTGCCAAGGATTTCCTCTCACCATTCTATTTGTCTATTTGTCTTCTCCACTCCTTCATTGCCTGTGGAGCCTTCTGCATAATGTACCCTGTGCTGTAAATGCTGTAAGTGAGTTCCACTTTTTGGTATTACCCTGCATAAACAGACACTGATAATTTAAGATTTCTGAGACAAGCAGCTTTGTGAAACTGTAATAATAATAAACATTCACTTACTTGAAGAAGTTGGCATAAATTCTGAATGACTTCATGTTCACTTTTAGTGTGCCAGTAAAAAAATGAATGGGCAGTTATTTTTTTTATATGAAGTCACTTTTATTTGTAAAGTGAGACATCACTTCTTCAAGATTTATTTATTTATTTGAAAGGCAGAGTTGAAGAAAGAGAGAAAAAGAGGCAAATGGCACAATGGCAAGGGCTGGTCCAGGCCAAAGCCGGAAACCAGGAGCTTCATCTGGGTTTCCCACATGGGTGGCAGGGGCCTAAGTACTTGGACTGCCTTCCTCTGCTTTCCCAAGTACATTAGCAGGGAGCTGGATTGGAAAGTGGAGAAGCCAGGACTTGAACCAGCCTTCATATGGGATGTTAGAATTGCAAGTGATGGCTTAACTCACTGCACTACAATGCTGCCCCCATGTCACTTCTTTTTTAAGTTAAAAAACTTTATTTTTAGAGTAATTCTAGGTTTATAGTAAATTGAGCAGAGAGTTCCCATATACCCCATCCTCACATATGCCCATAAATTATTTATTTTAATAATATTATTAATAAATAAAAAGCAATCTTAGTTCTCTTGTTCTGTTGGTGAGGGCTTACATTGAGAAAGCAAAAGAAATGCAGCTTTATAAAATTTTCTTCCAGTTAATGTAGTAAGTAATACCTACTTCTGTGTAGTAAATACTTAAAAAACAACAACAACAACAACACAAGCTATGAGTCTATTCAGCTGGAGGAGTTCTGGAACTGGAACACATGAGCAGCTGTAGCATCTGAGAAAATGCAGGAATGTTGGTGGGATGGGTGCTAGTGTTTGGGTGCTTCCTATGGGAGAAGAGGAGGCCTGAGGACCCGCCCCCCCACAATTAGGTGGTGTGGGTTGGGGGGTAGTGCTGAAGGGGAGGACATAAAAATCTGGCCACATCAAAGCAGAAACCAGGCAGATTAACACCTGATGGGTGAGATGTTTTAATAACTCCATCTCAAAACATACAGCTTCTTTGCATAAGAGAATACCTTACATATGCTGAAGAGAAACGGGCTAAAAAGTGTCCATGTAGCATAGATGGGACAGAGTAACCCTGAAATTCACTAGGGAAAATTGAGCACTGCATTTTCTGAGAGATTTCAGACATTGTCCCTTGCTTATGACCTCTTTCTTTCCTCACCTCTTCCCTTCCTTTTTTCCTTTCTTTTGTTTTATTTTTTAAGTTAAAATTTTATATTTATTTGAGAGGGAGAGAAAGGGAAAGAGAGAGGGAGAGAGGGAGGGAGGAAGAAGGAGAGAGGAAGAGAGAGGGAGGGAGAGAGAGAAAGAATTAACCTATCTGCTGGTTTACTCCCCAAATTCTTAAAACAGCCAGGGCTAGGCCAGGCTGAAACTAGGAGCTAGGAATGCAATCTATGTTTCTCATGTAGGTGGCTGGGACCCAAGTACTTGAGCCATCACCTAGTGCCTTCTAGTGTATTCATTAATAGGAAACCAGACTTGGGAATGGAGCTAGGACTCAAAACCAGGTACTCTGATAAAGGATTTGGATTTTCCAGTCAGCATCTTAACCCCTAGACAAAATGCCTACCCCCCTTCCTTCCATTTAACAATTATTTATGAGTGTCTATTTAAGTGTCAGGTACTATTCTGGGCAATGGTGATATTAAAAAACAACGGAGATGAAAACAAAAAAAACCTTTGCTTTTATTTTGCTGATAGGAAATAGTCAACAAATGTCACTATTATATGGTATGTTGAAGGGTGAAGAGCGCCATGGAAAAAAAAATCTAATGATAGGGTGAGTGCTAGGATTGGGATGAAGACTGGATTGGGATTGGTTAGGGTAGAGCTCATTGAAAAAGTGACGTTTAGCAAAGACTTGAGGAAGCAAGGATGAGAGCCATGAGATACCCAAAGGAAGAGCATTTTGAGTAGAAGGACAGCAAGAACATTGTCCAGAAAGCAGGATTTGTGTGATAAAGTCAAACACATATTTAACCAAGGACCTAGTAATCCCACCCCTAGGTATTTACTCAAGGGAAGTCTTCACATAAAGACTTGCACACTAATGTTCAGAGTAGCTTTATTCACATTAGTCTAAAATGAAGAAAACATACCTAATATCCATCAATAGGAGAAAGGATAACCGGACTGTAATATATTCATGCAATGTAATAGTATTCATCAATTAAAAGAAAGAGCAGTGTATACATGCTACAACATGAATGGATCTCAAAAACATCATGTTAAGTCCAAGAAGCCAGACACAAAAGAATATATACTGTTTGAGTCCATTTATATGAAGTATAAGAACAGGCAAAGTAATGGAAATTAAAGCAATGGCTTTCTATAGGATGAGTGGGAACTGAGTGAAAAAGTATGTGAGGAGGCAGAGCTGTTCTATATCTTGATTTGGGTGGTGGATCCATAGGTGTATATGATTGTCAAAATCCTATGGACTGGACAATTAATATTGGCACATTTTATTGTATGTTAATTATAACTCAATTAAAAATATGAGTATTTGTTGAAAATCATGATATTTGGTGTGGAATAAAAAGGAGAAATGTAATATGTGATGGGGCCAAAAACTTAACTGGATGTGAAGTCAATCATGTTAAGTCATGCTATTTTGAGGTTTCTAGTTTTCACTTTCAGTGAAATAGAAAGTCCTTACTGGATAAGAGGCATGGACTGACCGGCTGCATGTTTTCACAGTACCACTCTAGTTGCCATGTTGAGAAAACTGTGGGAAACAAGGGTTACTTTAGGGAGATCCATGAGAAGGGCATTGCAATATTCTTAGAGTTTATGATGGCTGGTATGGGGGCTGCAGAACTGGAGATGGCAGGAAGAATTTGGATTCTGAATATACATTTGAAGATAGAGATGATGGGATTTGAGGAAAGATTGGACACAGGACAAGAAGAGAGGAATAAAACATGACTCCAAATGTTGGTGTGAGCAGCTAGAAAGATGGAGTTTCCATTTGCTGAGATTGGAAGACTGCATATGGACAAGGGTTTGTGGACTTGTTAAGCTTGGGATATCTGCTAGAAATCCAAGTAGAGATGATGATCAAGCAATTGGATATTGGGAGTTTTAGCAAATATAATAACTCAGCTTTCTTTTTTTTAACTTTTATTTAATGAATATAAATTTCCAAAGTACAGAATATGGATTACAATGGCTTCCCCCCCATAACGTCCCTCCCACCCGCAACCCTCCCCTTATCCACTCCCTCTCCGCTTCCATTCACATCAAGATTCATTTTCTATTCTCTTTATATACAGAAGATCAGTTTAGCATACATTAAGTAAAGATTTCAACAGTTTGCTCCCACACAGAAACATAAAGTGAAAAATACTGTTTGAGTACTAATTATAGCATTAAATCTCAATGTACAGCACACTAAGGACAAAGATCCTACATGAGGAGTAAGTGCACAGTGACTCCTGTTGTTGACTTAACAAATTGACACTCTTGTTTATGGCATCAGTAATCAACCTAGGCTCTTGTCATGAGCTGCCAAGGCTATGGAAGCCCCCTGAGTTCACTGACTCTGATCATATTTAGACAAGGCCATGGTCAAAGTGGGAAGTTCTCTCCTCCCTTCAGAGAAAGGTACCTCCTTCTTTGATGACCCATTCTTTCCACTGGGTTCTCACTCGTGGAGATCTTTCATTTAGGTTTTTTTTTTTTTTTTTCCCCAGAGTGTCTTGGCTTTCCATGCCTGAAATACTCTCATGGGCTTTTAGCCAGATCCGCATGCCTTAAGGGCTGATTCTGAGGCCAGAGTGCTGTTTAGGACATCTGCCATTCTATGGGTCTGCTGTGTATCTCACTTCCCATGTTGGATCATTCTCTCCCTTTTTGATTCTATTAGCTAGTATTTGCAGACACTATTCTTGTTTATGTGATCCCTTTGGTTCTTAGTCCTATCATTGTGATCAATTGTGAACAGAAATTGATCACTGGGACTAGTGAGATGGCATTGGTACATGCCACCTCGATGGGATTGAATTGGAATCCCCTGGTATGTTTCTAACTCTACCGTTTGAGGTAAGTCAGCTTGAGCATGTTCCGAACTGCACATCTCTTCCCTCTCTTATTCCCACTCTTATATTTAACAGCGATCACTTTTCAGTTAAGTTTCAGCACTTAAGAAGAATTGTGT